TCCCTTAGAATACTACGTTGTACATACATACATACACACACACACACACACACACACATATGTATACACACATCCACAAGGGCTCCCAGCGCTACAGCTCCCATGTATTCACAGCGATACGAGAGCTTATTTCCTCCAAGGAAGTTGGGAAAAAAAATCCAGCCGTGACAGAGGTGCTCAGATATAGAAGAAATTACAGCTACAGCATTTCATTATCTGAGTGTCTCTGAAAGCCATGTGTAATTTCCTAAGACGATACATTCAGCCCTCCTAATATTGCCAGTGATGGAAAAAGGTGCATTATAGTCATCAATGGCACTTTACTTCCCCATCTGTGTTTCCTCAAGAATTGTCCAAGATACCATGATTCACTCTGGCTGCTTAAGCCATGAGCTCCCTCTAGTATCAAAAAGGATTAATGCAGTTGGTACCTTTGTCATCCTAAAGGAACAGAGAGCAAATGTAAGAAAGTATCAGTAAGATGAAGGAAGTCTGACCCTTTTCTTCATTTTTGAAAACAAACCTCAAATCAAAACAAAAAACCCTTGAAGTTATTTCTGTGCACATAACTAAACACTGTCACCTTAAGAACAATGAGGCAAACACACCCACAGGGCAGGAAAAGACATATTTTACATCCTCATCCAGCAAACATGGGTACAGATTGTAGAAGTGCACTCTGGTCATCACCTTTCACAGGAGAGCAGTATAAGCTGGCAAGATGATGATTCTGGCTTTAGAGATGTGCTTGTTGCTTAAAAGAGCATTGTCACCAAAAAGGAAACAATAGAACAGAAAAGAATGAACTTGGATAATAGGTAGGTCAGGCCACAATATTCAGGTTGGGTTTTTAGAGATTCTCTAGTAATTACTTCCATTTTATAGCATTTGGGAGCAAAGCAGAGGATTATTTTAGTGGTGTTAAGAGCTCCCCTTCCCCAAGAGTACCAAAATGCTGTCCCTTGAATAAATCATGTGAGTGAGAAAGGGCTCCCCTGCTATGGTTTAGAGCTTTCATCTAGAGTGTGTTGGCAAGTCTTCTTTCCTAGACAGAGGAGAAGAAGAAGAGATGTAGCCAACATCTTTTTTGCTGGCGTTTGGGAGTAGTTTTAGAGGTGGTAAGAACAAACATGTGCTAAAGCCTGTATTTCCCTGCTCCAATGACTACAGTATTTGTGCTGTGCTAGGGGCTCAGGAAGCCTCTCCCTGTGGCACAGCAATTCTCTCAAAACACAGAGGGAGCAAAGAATGACCAACAGAATAAGGCAAAACTCCTGACAGAAGTGAGACACCAAATGGATCTGCTGCTACACATAATTACTGGACAAAATTGCAAGACAAAATAACGTGTAGAAGCAACACCAGCTAATGCTCAGCAGTTAAGAGAGCCTTCTCCCATTTTCAGGAGAAAGCCACAACTCTGTAGCCCAGGCAGGCACTTTAAATTTCAGTTGTTTGTGACATTCCAATGACTCCTCTGCACTAGTGTCTGCTGCCCTGTCTTTGACATCAAAGACTTGTCCTTGACATATATCACAGGTCCACCAGTGAAAGAGGATTCCTTCATGCTACCAATATTCCCGAGAAAGATCTCCTCTCATAATCTGTTGGCTTAAGTAGCTATCACCCCTCCCAGAGATAAGAACTAGAGAATAGATAGCCTGACATAGAACATACTCCTTCCAAACAGCCTGAAGGAGGACTGGGAAAGCATCTTCCCACTTCAAATGCTACAGAAATAGCTGGATCACTTAGTGGAGTTCAACCAGCTGCCATCACAAAGCTCCCAAGCACTTTCTCTGCAGTGCTGCTCATTTGTTCTCCTAGAAATCTTTTGATCTGATATGGGAACAACCAGAAAAAAAACAAGACTCATGTCCATTCTCTATTTTGTTCCTTTTTCTCTCATCTGCTGGGTATAGGGAGATGGCTGTGTCCCCTGCCAACACTCAATAACTCTGTAGCTATTGTTTTCCAAACAGCAGCGCCCTCAGGCTATCTTTTTTGCTTGACCCTGTAGACGACAAAAAATTTTCATCAGGGCACAGATTTTCCAAGGAAAGAGTGGGGTCTTAAAGATCATATAATTATTATTATCAGTTATCTACTGCCACTCAAAGCCAACAAAAATTTGATAATAGCCAGCAGAAATGGTTTTGGATGCCTCACTCTGTGCCAATTCTCTAATCCTGTCTGACACTGCTTGTCCCTGTATAAGTAATAATGTCATAATGTGGGTTAGAACTTCAAGATGTAAATTAGCAATGAGAATCCACAATCGAAAAATCAAAAAATTACCTGCTTTTTCATGCAATATTTTAAAACATCAAGTATAAAGATAAAAAATTAAAAAATAAATTAAAACCCCCAAAAGAATGGTACTTTTCACCCCAGTGGTTTAAGTCAATATGAGTACTCCTTTCTGGCACAAATTAATCAGACTATTACCTATTAGAGTAAGTAGCAATAGTCAAGCAAATATTATTTCCCCTCAGTCTCCCTTCTAATAGAAAACAGGAACTACTAATCTGAAGATATATTTATTTTTTTAATTTATACTTTTAAAAAATGGAGTGCCAGTTTTTGCCTGCATCATTTGTTTCAGACTGCTTTCTCAAGCAACCCATTTAAACTAGGATGTGGTAAAATGACACTAAAAAATTACCTTTAACTCAGTATGTGGCCTACCTAGAGACTCCTTTCCTGGCTAGGGGTGAACAGGAACAAATTTGTGTGTGCTGCTGAGAGGGTTTTGGAGGTTTGTGATAGCGTGTGCTCAGGTTCACAATACCAGCTTAGTCCATGCTCCAGATCATGTTCTATGGGTTTTTCAAAAGCAGGAGTTAGTTTTGGTGCACATTTTCTTTGTGATACAGACTTTGTTAGGTCTTTCTTCAATATTTTCCACTGCTTCTCTTTCAGAAATTTCTGACACAGCTCATTATCACCTAGAAGACAGCTGAAATATTTGGTTGTGACACTGCACTGCACTTCTCATGTAGCCAAAGGTTAACCATTAATTCTAAAACAGCAAGAAGGAATCTGAGTAAGTGCTGGTCAAGCAGCGAATAACCTCGTTCAGTTCTTACTCTGTGGGCAAAGATGGTAAACTCTTGATGACCCATGCAAAGGAAGTACTGCTTCAGGTATCAGCCTTGGTGAATGCCAAGATTCAATAATGGTAACAGCAAAAAACTGTTCTCCTTTGATTCCTCAAAATGTCAGTACTCACCATATTATGTCAATGTTGTCTTCCCAGCAGCCTTAAATAATTCCATCTCTGGAAAACTAGTTTTTATGTAGACAGCCAACTCTACTAACCTTTCTGTCAATCACCTAAGCAATGGAAAAGAATTTTTTTTCTAAGTTAGTAAACAAGACTACTTCACATACCAGAGACAGCACACCGCTGGAATGTATGGACAAAAATTCCCTGAAGAAATTAAGTGACAGCAATTGGAAATCTGAAAAAAGCACCCAAATGGCAGTATTATCTATCTGTAATATTATTATTACTATATCCTGGATCCTAGAAAACTCTCCAAATAAGCTTAATATATTATCTTTTGTTACTAGACAATGTTACAGAGGAAAAAAAAAAACAGTTTTTTCACTCCTCAAGTATCTCAAGACACTTACCCATGTACAAATTTAAAATATGCCAGGTGTTGCCTCTGTTTCTGGACTTAAAGCATTTATTGTGCACTCTCTTCTTTTTATCATCTCACTGGTATGTCAGCAACAAGACACTAAATGAACACAAAGTATTTTTAGGCATCTCATAAAAAAGCAGAAAGCATTGCTGCCTCACAGCATACTATATTTGTCTATGATGCCAGTCAAACCTCTCTGGAAACCTTGTTGATCTTTATAATGTTATGCCCAAAAGGTAATGTTTCCTGAGTGCAGAGGTGGCTTCAGTGCCTACTCTCTTCAGAAATTCTGGCCACTCAAAATTAAATATGATTTCAGTTTCCTTATCTGAAGGCATTTTTGCTGCAGCTTGGAACCTACAGTTCACTTCAAAATAGTCACTTCATTGCTAACAACTGCTAACAACTCTTAAAGAAATGGGAATTCATCAATTCCAAAAGTAAAACACAGATAAAAGAGTGAATACAGAATGTGAAGTTTCTCTCAAACGTCTTCTGATAATTATCAATAAAATTCAAACACTTCTACTATTTCCATTAGAAAATACATGAAATATCATATATCTTGTCATGAAGAACTTGTGTATTATGCTCTGTGCGTTAACTATTAACTTATTTTAACTTACTCTATATAAGAGATCAGATAAATCAGACCCCACATTGGGTACACAAAGGAGCTGAACACCAAGTAAAAGCTTGACAAAGCCAACAGAAACCAAATCCACCACAGACTGGTGTTTTACAAAGTGCTTTATTTCCCAGTTCTTTCTGCAATGGCTCATAATCTTTATTTTTGTCGGTAAGGTCAGAATAAACATCAGCATAGCACCAAAAGTATTAGCCTGTGGCTAATCTCTGAAAGATCTTACCTTACTAATGTTGATTATGCCGGCTGACTATCTTTTGTTACCACCTGTCCACAGTGAAACTTTTCCATTTTTGCAGTTATTAGCTAATCTCTCATTTTGCAAAGGAGCTCAGAAGTCTGAAATAAAAGGAATGGAGACACTTTTTTTTTTTCACAGATTGAACTAGCTGAACAAAACTATGTTTCACTATGAAAACATTGATCTTTTTAAAATTGCAACCAATAAACTCTAAGCCACAGCTCCTGAAGATGCTAAATTTGGTTCTAGTGTAGTCTGTTTCTTCAAAGATGTCAGACTCACTTTGCCTGATCCAAGTTCACAAATTTATGGAGTACTTCAGTGCAGAAGATTTTTTGGTGGCTATGGAACCCAGATAACCATGGACTCTTCCAGAGCAGCTGGTGGCTAAGCAAACAGGGCTGTCCTTGAGAGCTGCACAATGAGGAATTCCTTTCCTTTCCATGAAACTTCAAGAGAAAAGAGAAGTGCCACATGTATTACTTCTATGGCCTTGACACAGCCAAAAAAGCCTAATGAATAAATGATACAGTAAATAAACCATAAGACAATAATCAACAGTGTGTGATATCACTGGAAGACATCACTTGATGAAGTTATAATGACAGTGCAATTCTTTCTGAAGCTCATCTAATTTATTATCAAAGAAGTCTTCTTTATCCACCACAAATAGCTTTGTATCCTCCAGACAGACAACTAAAAATTCACCATCTTCCTTTTAACAGAGAATCTTCCTTTCATAGTGAGATGTGAAAAGAGGGGAAAAAATAGATTAACTGAGCTAATGTTAGGAAGCTATCCGTAAATTTTGTATTCCAAACAGTGCCCCCAATAGAAACCATTAAGTGTGTCATGTCAGCTAGTACCCTGTCTTGATACCCTTGGTGTCCAGTGCCAGATATTTTTCACAGGTGGAGTTAAGAACACACATATAAAACCTACCCTCTAAAGGAAGTTCCCTTCTCATTCAGGAAAATAATCTCTGAAAAGCACGACAATAGAAATCTCAATCCCAAGGTTTGTTTATTTCTTTTCCCAAAGTTAACAGCACTTTCACCCAAGATGCTGCTTCACTGCAAACATTGCTCCATTCTGAAGCACAGACAAACAAAATGCTGTAAAAATGCTGCATCCTTAACATCTGTAAGAACAGCACTACCAAAGTTACCATAAAGTAGAATCCATGATGCAGCATCCTCTCCTCAGAATGATTCTTCCATGCTCAAACCTGTAAAAATATGGCTGGTATTCTTTTCCAGCTGAAATGTAATGGATTGGACCTGTTCCTGAGTTAATTCTCCATCTGAGCTTTACTCCAGTGAAGAGGTGAACCAGCAGAACTTGAAAGGCCTAACCAGAATACATCCAGAAATGCAACTTCTGATTCAAACAAGTTACACTCCTTTCTACACACAGAATGAATCCTTCAAATCCTTAAGAATTGTCTTACTTAAAAAATTAAAAGCAAAAGTGACTTGCAGTGATCAAACAAAAATCAGTAAGCATTTTCCACTGAGTCCAGATGTAAATTTCAATATTTGATTCAATGTCAGAAAAAATAATTTATTGCCAATTAAAATAGATTAAATCAGTGAGAAACAAATGCAAATTAAATCAGCACCTTCCCTTCATGCTCCCCTCTTTCCTCAGACTCAACTTCACACTTTCAACCCCCAACTTCTCTGCCTCCCTCTGTCCAAAGCAGCACAGGGTAAAGTGGAATGGGGAAGTTGCAGTCAGTCTGTAACAGCTCCTTTCTATCACTCCATCCTCACACTTTTCCCTTGCTCCATCATGGATCCTCTCCACAGGCTGCAGTTGTTCAGCATAAGCCTGCTTCCATGCAGGCTCTCCACAGGCTGGAGTCCTTCGGCATAAGCCTGCTCTGGCATGGCTCCTCTCCACGGACTGCAGTTCCTTCAGAAAAATCTCCACCTGCTCTGGCATGTGATCCTCCACAGTCTGCAAGGAAATGCACACTCCAGCACCTGAAGCAATTCCTCCTCTCCTTCTCTGACCTTGGTGTTCAGAGGACCGTTTTTCTCACCTTCTTCCTCATTCCTCTCTGCCATGCAGCATTTTGCCCTGTCTTAAATACACTTCCACAGATGTGCCAGCAGCTTCACCAACGTGCTCAGCTGTTCCCTGCAGTGGGTCCATTGCAGAGCTGTCTGGAACCAGCTATGTCCTGCACAGGGTCACCCACACCTGGGCACCTGTACCCAGTACAGAAGCACAAACTACAACCTGGAGATTAAGAACTTCCACACCCTCTCCTCTGCTCTCTTTCAAGCTGTGCTCAAAGAGTCATTTGTGGGGGCACAGTGGGCCAGACCCTGAGACTGATCAGGATTCGAAACAACGTAAGGGAGAGACGGACAGTTCTTTGTACTGATAACGTGCTGGTGCACACAGTGCACAACAGTGCTCTCATCAGCACAGCTCTGCAGTTGTGCTGGCCTCTGTGGAGATGCAGAAGCAGAACCTGTGGCAGGTTCTCACAGTTCCCGTGAGAACTTCTGGAGTGAAGGGGACAGTAGAATTCACCCCAGTATCTCTCCCTCCTTAAGCAAAACATAATGGCATCTTACATTTCAGTCATGTAAGGAATCAACCTCCAGCACAGTAAGGCAGAGAGGAAATTTATCCCCAAACGTGGGAAACTGAGGATAGCACAGTTTTTTAAAATGAGAAATTTGTTTCTATAGTGCTCTAGAAAGGAGAAAGAAGCAATAGGAGAAAGGCAGAAAAGTGAAAGATGAGAACATCTAAAACACTTCCCCCACTCCCAAAAAGCACCAAGTATGAGTACAGTGACAGGACACAAAAAACCCCAATATGGGTAGGCCAGCAAGAGGTAATTTTATGGCTTGTATTACGTACAAAGTTAGACATGCAGCAGCATCTGACATGAAAAACCTGTACACCCACCAAATTATTGTGAAGATATTGATTTAAAACTGGTAAAGCCCTCTTTCCACAGATGATCTGTTCTCAGTAGAAGTAAGAAGGTTAAGAAAGTTCCCACTTTCTCCATCTCCTTCCATGTACAAAACACCTCAGATGTGGTAACTTTTAGCTTTGTCAACAGTCAAGAACATGGAGTTGTCAGACCAGCTTGCATTCAGAAGATAACTACTGCACTGAAGATAAAAGCAAACATACATGATTACCCTTCTAGCTTTTATTAGATGTGATCTTAGAGAATAAATAATAACAAAATCAATGACTAAGAAGTTGTATATTAAAAAAAACATTTACCATCTACAGTGAGCCATTTCAGCCAGAAGAAAATGCAATCTTCAGCTGTAACTTTGAGAGCTTTTTATCTCCTGTAAGCAGCTTGTTGCAAACTTCCCTTCTTCTTCTCTTCTGTGCTCTGGTCTCTTGACAGTTATCTGGAGTACTCTCAGAGGTAAGTGATCCTGAGAAAACATCCAAAACATAGTGAACTAAGACAGAAAAGTGGAAGCCAAGGAAGAAACACCTGCACACTTCAGAAAACTGAAAAGTGTCATCTGTAATAAACATAAATAATTAATTTCCAATTCTCTCTCCCATTTCATTTTAGCTTTAAGAGAATAGCTGTGAGAAAAAGTTAAATTTACGTAAGTTAACAATAACCTGACAAAGCAAAACTGAATTAGATCTAGGAGAGATTTTGAGGCCAAACTTGTGATTAATTTCCAAAAGCACTGTTAAACTCAAAGTTGGGGGTGGGGAGAAATTGAGATTAGTTTTCCTCCCACTGCTGGCCAGTATTTCTCAAGATGTTCAAGGAAACATATTGTATAAGGGCGGTACTATATAAAGAGCAAGAATGCCTACTTTTAGCATTATATTCTTCAGTTGCTTATTCCTCCTATCAGCTCCCATTCCTAAATTACAGCATGCTTGAGGGTGACTGTCACAGGTGGTCTCAACTCTCTGTGTACATTGTCCATCAGGTTTTCATATACAGAGACCTTTAGCTTCCCTTAAGCTGGAAAGCAGAATTCCATGAGCCATCCTTCAAAAGATTAATATGAGCAGCTTTGCATCAGGCAGAAAGACAAGTGCAGCTGTTCCTGGGAGCCAGAAGGTTTGTCTTCTGCTCAACAAGCACTGCAGAACACAGGGGCATAGCCTCAGAATTTGTCCACAGCTCAGACTAAGATCAAATTCACAGCCGAAGGCTCTCAGTTCACAAGATCTGACCATTTTTGACACCCATCGGTTTCACTGAACCAATGCAAATTCCATGCACAAAGAAAATTTGCCACAGCTAGAACTGATGTGACATGGATGTTAATAAACCAACTATAGTTTGCAGATATTGTTACTGACATGCTGCCAAGTGACCAGATACATTACACAAACAAAAAAGTGCCCTCATGTGATGGGAGAAGTCATAAGTGTGGATTCTGGTGTCATGCCTGTTTCCCACTCCACCCCTTCTGTTGTGCAAGTTTCATTCTGTAGCTGCTGATTTTTTTTTGTTGAAGACACTGAACACAGTGATAATTATAGCACAGATGGAAGATCACCTACAGAGGAAGAAAAGTGCCAAACCTTTCAGGCTCGGTTTTGAGGTGCAGTTTGGAATGTTTCATGTTCTGGATAAAAAGAAAAAAACGATTAAAAAGGCTTAGGTTATTTTAGGTTATTTCAGGGTTAGAAGTATATAACATTACTCATTTAAGGTTAAAGTTTACTCTGTAAAAAACATATCTCTGAAAGGACTTCAGACAAAAGCTCTACACTGCTTCTTTATTAAACAAGCTTTCATTTACTTTAAGAAAATGTACACAGACAATAAAAAGACTAGGAGGTGCCACTGGCCTACAATTTCACTATGACTTGCAAAGATGGCAATGCATAGATGAGTATTCATTAGCACTTTGGTACATACTCATAAAAACATAAACATTGAGATCTGTCCAAATGCTGGGCATCTTGTCAAGCAGATCAGAGACACAGTAATACTAATACTTCTGAAAAGGAAGATTTACTTTTATTTTCTGTTGAAAAATCCTCTTCCTCTCACCAAAGAATGTGGGTTAAACAGAAGTTATGCCATCAAACTTCAATCCTCTTCCTCCCACCAAAGAATGTAGGTTAAATAGAAGTTACGACATCAAACTTTAATCTCCTCTGTTCCATTCATGCTGGTCCTCTCATAAAATCTTACACACCTTCTTCATGCTCTCCATGTCCCTTGCAGGCTTGTAGAACTTCTTGAGTGGGCAAGAACAGCTATGTCAGCACACAAAGACAAATCATTGTTTCTGAAGGGTGCATTCAGGACTAGCACAGAGAGTGTTAGTCTGGCATGAGGACACTGAAACCGAACTTCTCTCTCTCTCTTACCGATCTGCCAACACGCACCTCTGTTCCTGGCTCTCCTGCTGCCATGTGACTGCCACAGCTAATTACATTTTAAATAGTATCTAGAGACAAAGACTGTTCTGCAAAATGCAGAAGCAAGTCTGTGATCCTTCCTGAAGCCACTAACTATCAACATTTCAACAAAGGATAGAGCTAAAATTTTAACAGTATTTTAGAGGTAATTTATGCTGTAGTGACACTGTCCTGCTATAGCAATTCAAGTACATTAGAAAAATGTCCAAATGGCAGATCAAATAGCTCTCTAGCTCCTTCACAGTGAGGACCCAGGAATCAACTCTTATGAAAGCACTATACGACAAACAGATTTCCATCCTCTGATGAGCCTTATCAATCCCTATTAGAAAAAAGATCAGGAAGAGAGACAAATTTAATTTGCTTAGAACAGCATGGTCTTGTTTAAACAGGCAGAATGTCATTAACAGAAGCCAGTACATGCCAAATGACCAACTGAGCTGCGCTGCAGAGAGCTAAGGATGGTTGTAGTAAAAACATGAATTCCAATTATCCACATCTGATTACACGTGCCCTAAAATATCTGCATCATTTAACCACAGCTAGGTGTAATTAAAGCTGTATTAAAGAACTACATGCAAACAATTATAGTTCTGTCTGCATTTTATTTTTTTTAAGATACTTACAATCCTCTATGCATATATAATTCAAAACTATTAAGTATCCAAAGGTAACTTCCATAAAGAGGCTATCATATGCACGCTTTTTGCAAAGTTCTTCTATCTAGCAGAGGCTAACAGACTGCTGATGAGAATAACTACTACAGCTCCTATTCTTCTGTCCAGGGAAGACTCCTTAGGACAAGGACACTCAGTATTCATACTCAGAAAGCTTTCCATGCTTTTAAACCCCCTTCTGTACAGGATGGGGTCCTAGATGACAAACACACACTGATACTTTGTATGATACAGCAGTACTATTTATGATCACTCTTTTGAAGTCTCTCCAGAAAACACATCAAATCCCTCCAGAAAATAAACATGTCATTTGTCATGTGCATTAGAAATGGAATGAGATATTAGACGTAAGAGCTTACATTGGAAAAAACCCAAATGCACACACATACACTCCTGTTAGGTGGTGAGATTTTTGCTTTCCCCTCCTCCTCCCCTCAAATCATACCTTAGTTGCTGCTGTTGGATAGACCACCTGGATAGCTTCTGACCTAAAAAATCCAGCCTGCTTTACATAATGCTTGTTTCATTCATTAATGAGGTGCACTGTTGCTGGGAGAAGATAATTGTTACTGATGGCACAGGCTCTGAAGTCTATTCCTAAGAAAGCTTTGTTCAAAAGGGCAGGGCAGATCAAAGACAATTTTCTCATCAGAGATCCGTGAAGAGCAGTAACTTTTCACGGCACCATCCTCAGCTATATCACACTTTCTATCCCTAATGGAACAGATTTTTCCTGCCTAGACATCTGAGAACATATCTGCTTGGATAGGCTTAAGGGAGAAAATTGTAAGTTTGCCAATAGACAGACAAGTTAACAGGCAGCTACTATCCACAGCCAGAATCAGGAATTCAAGTGGTATGAAAGAGCCCAGCCCTAACAGCTGGCAGAAACCATCATTTCCCTCCTTGTTTTATGAAATCTTTCAGTTGCTGTGAATGTGATGATGTCCTGTGAAATGTGGGTCCCTGATATTCATCCAGGTAATGACGATGACCCCCAGAGCAAGCAAGGAAAAAAATTAATGGAATTAAAAGGAACATATGGACGTAGGATTCTGAGGAAACAGGAAGAAAAACTGACAGGGGCAAACCTCACTACTATTTAATTGTGCAGGGAACTCAGCAGCTGCTTCAACAGTCCAGCAGTGAAACATTGAGATTGGAGGACCTGAGGGATGGGATTTCTGTGGAAGCCTTAGTAAGTGCGAAGAAAGAGACATTTGGCTGGATACTGAGTATGCTTGACGTAGACAGAGCTGCAGTCAGATGGATGAGGAGAGCAGCAAGTTAATTCAGTTGGGAAGAAAAGCTTTGTTTTCCTGGTATCATGTAAAGAAAAAGAGTCCTGGGTTAAAGCTCCAAGAGGAGTTTCTTCATATTATAAGCTAAGAATGGGCATCTCAGACTATGGGAAGTCATTTATCTGCCTCCGGTACTCACCAGAAGTCAAGCAGTTTTGTTGGTTTTGAGGGCAGGACATGCTTCCCTTTTCTTCCATACCTTTAAGTTCCTACCATGAACTCAGACTATGCACTACTGGCATAGACAGGACTGTGGACAGACTCAGGAGCTGCACCGAACCTTTGTGATGGGTTCTCAACCCCAGAGCCCACCCCTACCACTGGGGCCCCATCAGCCCTCCCCGTAGGACCCTTGCTTTTCACACACCTTCATCCTACTTGTGCTCCATCATACCCAAAATTCACTGCCCTAAAGTAGCTCTTGCATTTCTCCCCATGAGCCCCCATAACGACAACATAGACTGTACTTTAAAAGAAAAATTAGTTTACATTTGAATAGGAATATTATACATTAAGTTACTATATAAAAATATATATATACACACACATACATATACAGACATCTGTGTCTCTAAATTTTGTACAAACTGCAACAATCTTTATACAACAAAAAGGACTCATTAACACTACTGGTTCCATCCAAAAGGCTGCCAGCCTTGAGTGAGAGCTCTGGTTGTGTGCTTTTTTAAGCCTCCTCTACATTTTATCAAAAAGTTATTTTTGCATACACATACAGAAGCACAGCCCTTCTTGTAAAGCAACCGATCGCTATTATGGGCAACCAAAAACGAGAATAAATGGAGAATAATTTGTTCAATTACAGTACTGTTGAAGCTCAGGGTCCCTAAGTTTGCAAAACAAATGCTTGAACATAACCACAAGAAAACAAAGTCAACATCAGAAAAGCATCTACAATTCCAACACAAAGTAATAACCAACTACTTTGCACGAAGCTACACAGCTTTCTCTGAAAAATCAGCCTTGTGTATACTATTCAAACAAATTCAACTGCACTGAAAGTGGTAATGTTTACTTCTGATCTTTTTCATATACATAACAATCTTCTCTGTAAAATTTAGGTGGACATTAGTGAAAAAAGGTATTGAGTATAGAGACTGGATAGGGGTGATGAGTTCATGTTGTTCCACTAGCAACACGCACAAAACAAATGCAAACATATTCTTTGAAAAAGAAAGGTTAAATTAAATTAAAAAGTAACACAGTAATAAACTAAATATGTATTTGAAAGACAAAGAATTGAAATTCTGTGAAAATGAAGAAAATGGAAAACAAAAATGTGAATATTGGCTGAAGAAGCATTTCAAATAAATTTTTTGATGAACAGAATTACAAGTCTAATCCCCAGCTTTTAAAACCAACTAATTCTTTACTGCTTCTTTAAATTTCCTCCAACTTTTTCTTCTATTGTTTTCAGAATGCCATGCAAATCAGGGTAGAATTAATTTTGCAGCCTGCAATTCAAGATGGACTAAAAGAGTATTTCCTCCAGCTGTGAGCACTAAGCCAAAAATAGAAGTACTGTCAGAAATATTGTTCAGCACAGGATGAGGCTGTAGCTTATGGTGGAAAGAACAGTGACTGTTAAAGAACAGAAATGTTAATGAGGGAACTAAGCAAGAACTGATGGAAATGTAACTTCTCTTTCCTTAAGCTTTCACTCCAACCATAAACGTATTGTTTGCTTTGAAGAGAACTAAAACTGAAATAACATCTTGCTGGTAATCTTTGGCTGTAGTTTATTCTTTTGAGAATAAGTATTCTAAAAAATGAGGAAAAATTCTCAAAAAAAATGAGCAATATAACATATGAGAAAGATAAGATAGTCTGGAATGCACTGGTTTAAACTCTAAGAAAAACCAAAGGTGATGGAATCATTGAATACAGAAACACAGAAGGAGGTACCTGTTCTGGTATGCAGTTATTGAGTTGGAAAAGAAAAAGTGGCTGCTACCTGAGTGCTCCAGAACTATGACTGCAGCGGAGGACATCCATTTTGGACAAATGTTCACAATTAACAACAACAGCAACCAAACCAACCAAACCCAACAAAACAAGAAGTCCAAAAAAAACCCCAGGTGCACCTTGTGAAATTGTCTTTAGCCAGAAACAAGTAGGATATACCACAAAACAATTCAGTGCAGAAACTAAATATGAGAGGTTCAAAAAAAAAAGAGATTTTTTTATGCACTTGCATGATAAAATACTGGCTCTTATTTAATAAGAGTGTGATCCTGTAGGAAAGTTCTAATGGGAGCTAACCCATAAACATTAGCTTTAAACAAAGAGCATTCACAATGCTAGTTAACCTCACAGGAGTTAATGGATGTTAAGACTAAGATATAGTCTTAACCTACCTAACAAATGCTGCACATAAAGGCATTTGGAACACAAGTTCAGTGTAAGATTTTTGAAAGTTTTAGTTCCAATGCTCAAAAGAAAATGAAAAAATAATTTTAAATGTCCACTATTTAGATGATGTTTGTGAATGCTTGAATGTAAGTTAGTAAATGTAACAATTTAAAAATGTAAATATTTTGGTTCACATAATATTTGCAATACTTTCTACTCTACATAAACAAACTAATCATTTTCCTGGGGTTTTTTTGTTTGTTTGTTTTCAAGTCATAGAAACAGAAAAGTTCCCAGACTGCATTCTTCCACAGCATACAGAAAAAAACCTTGTAATTTTATGATCAAGCTCTCGACCACTAAGTAGGAACTAATAACGGAACTGCTCCTATTGCTGTATACGAAGTACTCTGAATATTGCTCTCGGAATTCATCATCTGAAGCAAACAATGTAATTGTTTACCTTGATATCTATGTTGGTATCAGTTTAATTTCATTTAGGGCTTTAAATTGACATGTCTGCCCAAAGAAACATAAAGAAACACCTCTGTCACAGATTACACAACTCAGTGCTTGTCACTTATTATGGCTTTGACTTAAATATTGCTAAAAGATAATTTTTTTATCACATTCAATTTCTAAAGATTCCTACTAATTATTTTAATGACATGGACCATTTTAGTCTTAGAAGATGTCACTGTTCAAAAAGATGAGTTTGTTTTCTGAATGTTTTAGTGACAGCACATTTGGACATATTGCTTGGATTTATATCGCTTTGTTTTCTTGGGCTTGTTAGGAATGCTTACATTACAAGCCCTACATCATGAACAGCAGCAGGTTAAATCACATTTATCTGAGCTGGCAGCTTTAAGTGCATAAAGCAAACGACAGGTAAGCTGAAATGGCAGCATCCATCATTCTCCATGAGACAAGACTCCTGCATTTAGTTGTTACGACCGACTGCTAACACAGTACCACTGCAAAGGAAGGCTGCATGCAGCAATGAACCTCATCATAAAGCCAGAACACAAGTTCAAAGATGTCAAAGTTGAAAACATTCACCATTACAATTCACACTCTTTTCTTCATCTTACATTCACCTGGCAGCCTCACCTTTCTCCTCTCCTTGATCTTCACACCATTAACATTATGATCAGGTCGAAGTTGCATTTTCTTAAGCATCCATGTTCTTTATCACTTTGCAGTTTAGCATCCTGACCTTCATTTTGTCACAAAACCATTGCCATACTGATCAACTTTGCCATTGGATTCTGTGATCTTGGAGCTGACAGATTCTATGGTCTCTGTAGTGCAACAACAGTCGAGGGTCTCAAGGAGAAAAAGCAAACCCAGCATTGTGATCCACACTTTAAAGCTAAGGAATTAAACCGTGGAAGACCTTCAGAAACATTAACCAAAATGGGCCATTTGGATAGCAATCAAATTACTCAAAGCTTGAAACAGAAGAGAGAGGTGATGTTCCACAGGGCAACTGAATGACCTGGAACTGGCAGTGAGCCACATCAGTCAAATCAAAACAGCTTTCTGTCGGAACAACTCTAAAGTATGCTTAGTCTAAATGTCACAATACAATTAAAAAAGAATGGCAGGACTTTGAGAGCACCTGCCTTTCCTTCCAAGACATTAGAGTTCTCCAATTTGAAAAATCCTTCCAGGCTTCACAGGTGTAGGTGAAGAACTATGGTGAGGAACTATGGCAGTCTCTGATTTTATCTGGCTCCATAGACAACGCTTTTTCTCTTGGCTCTTGTTTAACTTGGCTCACACAGGTAATACCCTCCGTATTTTCTTCAGCTTAAAAACAAAACAAAAATCAAACATTGAAGTTCAAACTCCACTGACAATGCTTCAGCCCCCATAACTGTATGCATTTAAAAGAAAAACATTTCAGGAACTCAAGCTAATAGGTAAGGCATATATGAAGTTAACTGCTGTTTAGCTTGACAGCCAGTTACATCACCTACTGTGCTCTAAGACATTGCAAGTCGACATGAATTTACTACAGTAAGGCCCCCCTTGAGTAACAACAGTTAAAACATCTTATTAAAAAACGTTTGGAGATATAAAATCACTTTCACACAAAATGTCTTTTCTCTTTCCCATGGAAAAAAACAAAGCTACCATCTTAAGTTTTGGGGTTTGCTGTGAGGTTCTTTTCCGCAGAGAAATGGAGGTGCTATTGCTGAAAAAATTAACTCTAAAGCATGTTGATTTAGAGAATGACTTACACTTCAGGCACAATTGGCCATTTCTCAATGGCTGCACACCCATTTTAGCAGGAAATAGCCTACTCTTAAGCTAGCACTTAGAAATGAGAAAATCCAGAACACAGAGGATAATTTTAACCAAGTCCACGTGTGCATAAGTGTGTGCACACATGGAGGAGAGAAAAAAAATCTTGAAATATACATTGACTGAAATGCTAAGTTCAAGTTTATGGTGTTTCCTCCAAATAAGGTCTGCAGCATTATTCCCCCTTCAGTCTAGACTCGTTTTTGACATGCTCACCAAAGAATTTGTCTCTGGGGGAAAAAAAACCCAAACAAAAAACCCCCCAAAATTTCATAGGCAATTCCTCCCCTGACTTAGGAAAGGCACCAATATTCTTGCAACTTCCAGATTCAAGCTGGTGAGGACAGTTTGAGACCTTCAGCAGAGAAAAAAGGAAAGCCCAAAAGAACAGTGAGTTTAATTCTTGCAGTTATATAATTTTATATTTGACTACATTTCTTTATGAGCAAAATAGTGTTTCTTTTAAAAATTAACTTACAACACTTGTCACATACAAAAATTTTTGAGATGCATCAACATCTAGACTGAGGAAATGGGTTAAACATTTGATAACCTCTCTGAAATTCTTTTACCCTGAAAAAAAAAGAATTTCTCAGGAGACAAGTCCAATTTTAAAAGAGAAAACAACCAGTTACACAAGCCTTTGAGTACAACAGGCAGAAAATCCCTTAAATTTATCTTTGACAATACTGCCACAGTAATATAACCCATTATCACTTTAACACATACGAATTTCAGTATATTTCCTCATGTACCCTTAATTTATATTAAATTCTATAATATTCTGAAAATGAAAACATAAGAATACATGAAGAAATAAAAAGGAAATAAAGTTTTGCTGACCCGCAGAAGTCATTGGTAGGTATGGAGATAATTATCGGTACGTCATTATGAAGGTGTAGCTATGATCTAGCACATCTTTAGCTAGATCTTCCTGCAGAACTACTTCAGTCATCTTTCTAAAAGTCACAGATGACAAGAAAAGATAATATAGAAATAATAAAGCATTGCACAGCTAATGTTTCAGACTCTCCGGGTAGTCAAAAGACCACGTTGTGCTGATCTATGTATGGTTCACATCTAATAGGTTTTCTTCACCCCAAATTAAAAATCAATCCATGAGAATGCAAGCTTCCATTCTCAATCAGGTTCCATGGCAGAGAATTCAAAGGCTATTGATATTTGTTAGCAGTGGTTTTAAGGAGCCTTCAATTTTGATAGAAAGTTATTTACAGCGTTTATTGCGTATTTTTTAAAAACTGTTTTCAAAGAGTAGTTTGGAATTCCAAGCAATTACATACAACTCCATCTGACCATTTCTAAAGCATATTGATGACCACAGAATTTTAGTAAAACATTATTAAAAATTTTCAGAAATCTACTGGGATGGTGTAAACAAAGAAGTCATCAAAATCCCCATATTTCTTTCCAAAGAGTTCTAACTAGATTCAGTATTGGCTATTTCCTATTTTTATTTTTCCCAAAAAAAATATTTTGAAGATCACAATTATAGCTAAATATTAGGATTTTTGGCAAAAACATTGTGTTTAACAAATAAGTTGGTATTTGGTCAAAGAAACAAGTGTCTTTTTGCAGCAAAAGATAAGTTTGGGGCTGCTTTTTTGTGGTTTTTGGTTCTTTCTTTTTAATATAGTAAAAACTAATTAGAATCAGCTGAAAGAAGTCTATGCTGGAGTTCCCCATTATCAACACATTTCTCTCCTTTCAAGCCACACAGAACAAAATCCACTTTATTTTCTATATTTACATTTTACAGAGAAAACTGCGACTTACTAAGTGCTGGCTGGTTGTCCACAATCTGAACTGGAATAGTCTGTACATCTCCCAAGAGAATCTGATGGACTCCTTGCAGGCTTCTGGAGTCATTTACGCCTCCAGCTGGTACCAACTGGCCCATGGCAGCCAGACTTTGATCAGAGCCAGGTGGAGTCCCAAAAGCAGAGGCAGCAGCACCGTGCTGTGTTAGGCCAGCACTTGCTTGCAGGTTATGTCCCTGATTAAGTGTTAGAGAATGGCTGGTTATTGCACTCCCTAGGGAATCCAGGAGACTTGCAGGGCTGGGAGGGGAATGGTTATTTACAGCTATCAGGGCTGTTGATCCATTTGTGGAGGTAAATGCTGACTGCAGCTGTAATCCCTGTGAAAGAGAATATATACTAACATATATTTTTATTTATAGTAGAAGGAGTTTGCATTTAACAGCACATATTTCGCAGTGCTGGAAGTGGATAGCTTCCAACTTCCTACACACAATCTCTTTTGAATAGTCAATCCCAGCAACCCTAGGCTCAAAATGTATTTGAAAACAATTAGGACAATGGTATCTAACAGCATCTAGAAGACTGCTTATGACCACAAAGCTCTAATTTTGGATTGATACTCAGTTTCAAACCATTCCCCAATACTGTCCATTCCAAGAAGACGTGGGTAATCTATGCTAAGCATACTGCTTTAAAAAAAACAGTGTGAGGTGGAGCCAGGCTGTCTTCAGAAAGAGAGGGAAACCCCAAGTAGAACAGCATCTTAGTGCAGACTGTATTTCTAGGGAAAATATTGTGCATTTCATTGGGGCTCAGGAAGTATGAAAGTAGCTTTTCAAAGCAGTTAGGGAAGAAAGCTAAGAGAGCCAGCTTGGAAGGGAAATGAGCTTTAGAAGAAGCTATTTTAGCATGACATTCTTATCTCCACCCTTTAGCCTTTCAACCTGGAAGTTTACAGATCTGAGCTAGGAGCAGTTTTAGGACTTCAATATATTTTCTTAAGAGGCTGGAGGAGGATTTAAATGGAATAAATAAGACTGACCTATCTCCCCTCAGTTTTGAAGCATTTTCATTATGAAATGACTGGACCATATGGAAAATGAATAGGCACTGGGTTTGAAGCAGAAACCCACTACCTTCATCTTCTTGGTTTTGCCCTCACAAGAGTCCCTAACTTCAAAGTGTTGGCAGCTGGTAGTGGGATCCCCTGCACCACAGCTACATGTGACATGCCCGACTTCACAGCCCTGAGCTACCTAGACAGTGTTTGGGATCAGCTGAGAGGGAACTTGCTGTTCTCAGCCTACCCTCAGCACTTCAGCACAGTGTTCTGTGAACAACTTGACTGTACCTGAAGTTGTGCAAATATCTTGGGCTGAAGTGAAGAGAGTGAAGACAACAGCTGAGCTGTTTCTGGTGGCAAGGACTCCCCAGTCTGGTTAGATTCTGCTTTGGTGATGACTGACTCCCCTCCTGAGCTCCCTACAGTGCCAGAGAGGAAGCAGACAGTTAGGCCAAATTTCTTCTTCCCATTTAATAAAAGCTTCCCTTGCAAACCAAACAAACCCCTTCAATCTCAATATAGATACACAGAAGGCATATATATACATAAATGCTGTTTTCTTTGCAGAACCTGGATGCTAAAGAAAAAAGATTGTGTATGAGAAAAAAACAATACTGTAGGAAGACTGTATGTATCTACACAGAGCAAAAACCAGAAGCACCAATAAATCTGTTCTTGAGAGCAAAGTAATTGCACCCTACACTGTGCTTTGAATTTGTAGTTATAGAACAAAGGCTGAAACATTTCTAGCAAAGGAGCAAACAAATAATTTGACAACATCTACACCTCAGTAAGGGCTCAGTAACAGATAGGTATCAAAAAAAAGGGTTGTCTTAAAAAAAAAAAAATACACAGGAAATTTTCTGTCTCACCACTCCCTTCCAATCTTGTTGTTCCAATCTTAGCATAACTTCTATGCAATATCATCAAAAGTCTATTTATCTGGAGGCCTTTTAGCCTACAGATTACATCATATCCTTAAAATTCTTATTCAGTGTAAGAATGATGGACTTCATTTCCTGAAGGCTTGTAAAAACTGAGATTCACTGGTAGCAATCTCTGCAAGAAAACTTCTCATGGGATCATTTCATTTCCTATTTGAGCCACCCAGAACATTTTGGTTAAGATTTATGCAGACACAAGTAGACATTGCTCAGCCTTTTATTTAGGAGTTTCACTGTTACAACAGCAAAAGAAGAGCTTGCCCTGTGAATGCAGACTAGTCTGGTGAATGGCAAAAATTGAGAATGGTCAATTGCAAAATGCTTTCTTATCAGAAAATCATAGAAAAAGTTTCAGCAATCTGAGGGGAGATTCATTTTTCAACATACATACTGATCTGCAAACTCTTAACTCTTTATCACAACTGACCACAAGATACTCTCTATAAATCTCCTTGAACACAACTACTTCAAATATTTAGGCTCTTTTTAATATCCATATGCATATGTGAATGTTCATATGCAGGAAGAGATGGTAGTTCTTTCCTTAGGTTGTATTTTACAGCAACATGCCCAGGAACAAAGCTAATAGTTCAACTCCTGATATACCTGCTACAGAGGAAGCTGTATTCCATGGAGATATGGAGTTCTGCACAAGAAGTTCCGTTATTGCCTGATTTCTTAAATGTAAAGTTGTCCCCATTTGGCACAAGTTGAAATTAAAAAAAACCCGTATACAAAGAGTAGTCATAAAAGTCAATGTTGTTTTCCCTTGCTACCACTTCACAGACATTAATAAGAGCTCACTTTTAGAAAGCCAGGCTTCTTTTTTTCCTTAGACTTGTAATACAATTATAAACACGTGTTTGAAATATATACAAACACATACCCACACATATAAGGGAAGACAAGACATGCTGCAATTAGAGTATCTGCTTATTTTCACTGAGTTGGTACACATGTGCATAAAACTAAACAAAACCAATTCTCTGGCTTCCTGTAAAATTCAGTATGTCACTGGATGGATGTTTACACATTTGATAGGCTACTTTGTCTTAGAGAATTATCTGTGTAAAACAAAGAAGCCAAGAATTGGCCTCTTCCTGAACCTTCTCCAGCACTCAGTTCATACCAAAAGTCATCCTGCTCAGCTCTATCACAGCTGTTGAGGGCACAACTATTCTGTGTTTCTCCCTAAAAGCACAGTAATAGCAATATTAACACAGGCATGCAAGCTTAACTGCAGTAAGTCTGCTCACATTGCAAATTTCTTTTTTCCTAAAAAACAAGACTTTCTTAAAAAAGAGGGACACTGTTCAAGCTGAGTCTAATTTAATTCTCTTGACAGGTGTTATTAGCATCTTCATCCAAGATAAAATGTTCTTTTCACACAACCATCCCACTAAAATTTTTAATTGCTTGAGGCTGCTAAATAAAAGCCCAATTCATTATTTTAGTACTTCTTCCAACAACATCATGACTACATATTTTTTCACACATGCAGTCAAATAGTTAAAAAAAGCAAATGAAAATAGTTATGACAAAATAATCCTTCTTAAGTTCAGCTGAGTGACAGAACATGGCAGCAATCTCTCTGGAATAAAACTGAACTTCTGTGACATAGCTAATAAAACACATTTGAAGACAGCTAGGTTATCCAAACAGTCCTACCATCTGAAGGTGGTGAGGCAAATGTAACAGTCACTGTTTCTGTGAGGACATTCCCACTGTCTGTGGTCCATTGCAGCTGAAAGGAAAAAGATCTCAGTTCTCAGAAAGGGTACAAGCTTGTCTACTGCAGGAACACAGGCTCAGTACAGGACCTGTAGGAAAACAACGTCTAAAACTACACTTCCTTATTTTCTTATAACTATGCATTTTGGGAGCTCTTGATTTACCAAAAAAAAAATAAAATTGTGAACATGACACTATATCAGGAAGGCTGAAGTCTGTTCATGACAGTTCAAAGACTTTAAAATAGAAAACAGTCAAACCATTTGGCTAACTAACAAGAACACTCACTCACCTGGGCCACAACAGTATAGGGAGAAGGAAAAGACTGATGACACAGCATGATTTAACAGAAGAGTTTGTCAAAGCTGATTTTAAATCAGCAGTTTCTTAGCAGTCACTCTCATAACTGTGAAAACTAGGATCACTGTGTATCCTTTATGAGTCAATACACGAAAGAAAATTAAGAAACATCTGAGAGTTACTGAGCATTCAGAAGTATTGACTTCAAGCTTACTTCACTTGCTATAAAGTACATTTACTAATGTTTACACATTCAAAATGTCATGTAAGCCCTAATTTCGACTGCACCTCAGACACACCTCACCCCTATTTTTCCAGATATGGAAAAGTAGTAGTAACTTCTTCAAAACAGATGATGACAAAGCCATGAATAAAATTTTCTGCCATGTGCCAATTTTTCTACACGACATGGCTTCCAGTTCATGGGCATTAAGAAGTGCTAGTATTGTAAAATTTGTCAATCAAATAACAGCAATCTAATGCTGATGAGATAAATACTGAAGAAGGTCAGAAGGTTTTATTCACATTTAATCCAACCGTGCTTAGCCAGAGATTCCAGTGAAAATATTGCTGCTGGAAATATAAAGTAATAGAGAATTTTTAAAGAAATACAGCAAAATGGTACAAATTAAAAACAACACTTGTAGTATAACTCCAAAAATCAAAAAGATACACAAAGGCTAACATACCATTGCTGGGATACTTTCTGAATTATACACCATCTCTCCATTCCTTAGGGACTTCTGTACTTCATGAATGTGGTTCTTGATGTCATTCACAGTGGGGAAGAAGGACAGATTATGTCTTTCTGGCACTTCATCAGGCGTGAATAACTCTCTTTCCACATACTTTCTGTCACATGTTAAAGGACATTCAAATATGCACATTTAAATACACTGTGCTATTTCCCTCTGTTAGAGACACCACTACCTTCTCCCTCCCCTTGTTGCAGTGACAAGACAAAAGCAAGCTAGATGATCTTCTGCCAGTTCCTTGTGCATCTGCTACAGAGTTTGGAATTTAAAATCTCCATTTATTTAAGTACATTTAAAGAGTACAGCAGCTTTTGGTGGCTACCAACAACAATACAGAAAGAGAAGATAAAGCTGGGAAAAACAGTCTCATGACATCTGGGAAATACACCCAGTGATGCATCAGCATTTGCAACCATTTAGTTGCAAACCAAATTAATCAGATGCAAGAGTAGATACAGCACTACAGACTGAGAGCATTCCAGACAGTTCTGTACCTTAGTTGCTTCCTCACTGCATAGACCTGCTCTATTCCCTGAGACACCAGTTCTCGGATCTTGTCTGCCACTTGGGGATGAAGTCGAGAAGGCAGAGCACAGTTCTCATCTCTAACAACCTCCTCCTCCTCCTCAGGAGAAGACACAGGAAAATGGGAGGGTGAAGGAGGGAGGCAGGATGTTTCCATTTCATGGTATTGGTGGGCTTGCTGAGTGGGTAACTGTACATACCACCTAGCAAGAAGGAAAGATTTTAAACACACAATTCTCAAGCAAAGGCAAAAAATTTGGTGTCTTAGGGGAACAGTCTGACAACCACAAACAACCTAGTTAGAGCAATGTAAGTTTTGACGCTTATGACATTAGGGCCCTAATGTCTTTCACAACTCAGGGCCCTCTCACACCTTTCAATGCAAAATAAAATAGCTCAAACCCTCCAATAATACAACTATTTCTATCTGCATGAAAACACCTGCTGAAGTTCCACCACTTGGTGCTTAACGCATTTACCAAATGAATACTTCAGAGCCACAGGAGTCTTACTGACATTGTGGGATTTTTTTACTGTTGATATTAATCAAAAGCCTTAATAAATGACTTGGTAAAAACCAAAGCAAACCTAGCAAAACATTGCTCTTTTTTGCTTCATTTGTGAAAATAAAGAAAGAAGTGGAAGTTTCACCTGAGGATACCGCCAGCATCTATCAAGTTCTTCTTCAGAATGTTGAATGCTTTCTCCTGCTCCATTCTTATGACTTTCTTGTCAATTTTAGGATCAGTAGGAACCCTGTATTCTGGAAACTTCTGAACCTTTTTAATATAGATTCTGCCAAAGGGGAAGGCAGGGGGAATAAAAAAAAATTCTCCATCAGTATACTTTGTCCTTGGGAGGGGAAAGGCAAAATCCCCATCTTCATATCAGACACTAGAATAGAAGTTTGAGCAGAGTGATGCAGGGAGGAAGGAGCCTCTAAAATAACTGTAGAATTCTTAAAGACACTTCAATAGAGATGGATGCATACAGACACACTTCTGTTCTGGTCTGGCAGCCGCTCAGAGTGATTTTGCTCCTCAGAAAAAACCCTTTGTCCCTCAGCATAGCAAAAGCACACACCATTTGTGAACAGACTGTAGTTCACCCAGCTGTGCAGAATTGAGCACATACATACTTAGCTACAACTGTTGAAGTAAACACACTCCTAAATCAGTAAAAGCTGAACGAGCATCCAGGAGGATGCTCAAGGATGACGAAAAAAACCATTAGTGCTGGATAAGGAGAAACTCCTCAGTGAACAGGAAGAACTGTAATGTCTTCAGCACACAGGACTTGTGCTAAACTAGGCTGATTGACTGATATCAATGCAATTAAAAGCCTGAAGAAAAAACAATAAATAATATGGCAAAGTTTTATGACCCGAAATGGTTGCTAAAGAACATCACAATAACTCACTAATGCTCAGGTAGATAATGATTCTTACTTCTATTTCATATAGTGATGTGCTGCTACTTTGCATCCAGGCAGTCTATCAGATCTCAGCCTTATTGAGTCAAACAGGACAGCATTTCCTCCTTACCTCTAAATGAGTATCAACCTCAAGTTCCCAAGGAGATGAAACAAGAGCTACAGCAGAGAGTATCAGCTACTACCCCAAAAGAGTGCTCTGTCCCAACTCACAGAAAGAACACTTTCTTAGGATGCTGAGTCACTCTTACAGCTTTATAGATAATTCATACCTTGCTGGACAAGTGGCTTTGTACAGATGGCCAGAGGTGCTTTCCTGCTCACCAGCTTTTTTGGGCTGGAAACCTTTCCTCCTTGGCCCATATTGACACTCCATTACAATGGCTCTGCTTCCTGGAAACAGAAAGCAATTCACTCTATATTTATTCAAGCAATAACTGAATTTTTAACAGTAAAACAGTAACTACAGAAGAGATGAGAGTTCTGAAACAGAACGTTTCTGTTTGCCATCGGACTGGTCAGAAGACAGAACGCTTAGGTGTAGCAAGCAAATACAGTGCAAATGCTTCTCTCACAGCATGCAAGAACACAGAGCATTTACTAGGCATTTCTCAAACCTGTTACACCTCATAACACTCCTGCAACATATGTGAAGGCAAAATATGAGATTCTGCCCTGGTGAACACCAGTACTTTATAAGATGAGAAAATTACCAAAGGAGCACAATGCTGATAATAAACATAAAAGAAGCAGAATCCCCAAAATAACAGAGAAAATTCACAGCTGAAATCAAACGTGTGCTGGTTTTGGCTGGGACTGAGTTTTAATTTTCTTCACAGTAGCCAGTATGAGGTTGTGTTTTGGATTTGCACTGAAAACAGTGCTGATAACACAGGGATGTTTAGTTACTGCTGAGCAGGGCTTACACTGAGTCAAGGTCTTTGCTGCCTCTCACTGCACCCCACAGGCAAGGAGGTTGAGGGGCACAAGAAACTGGGAGGGGACACGGCCAGGACAGCTGTCTCAAACTGACCAAAGTCATGGAATACGGTATGGAACATACCATATGGCCTCATGTTCAGCGTACAGAGCTGGGGGAAGAAGGAGGAAGAGGCGGGCATTCAAAGGTACAGTATTTGTCTTTCCAAATCAGCATTAGAGGTGAGGGAGCCCTGCTTTCCTAGGGATGGCTGAACACACACCTGATGACGGGAAGTTGTGAGTGAATTCCTTACTTTGCTTTGCTTGTGTGCCCAGCTTTTCCTTAACCTTCTAAACTGCCTTTATCTCAACCCACGAGTTTTCTCACTTCTACCCTTTCGATCCTCTCCCCCATCCCACCAGGAGGAAAGAACGAGTGGCTCTGTGGTTGTTTCCAGCTGGGGTTAAACCGCGACAGCAGGTCAGCAGCCATTTCCAGCCCCCTGGCTTAAATCAACACTTCAGACCAGTCTGTCCCATAAATTCTTAACTGCAAGTCAGAGCTAACTTAACTGCCAAATAACAGAGTTTCAGTGCAGCATACCCACACAAAACCAGACAGGCTTAAACAAACACTGCTTTGCTCTAAATCTGAAGTAAGTGACTTCTTCCAATCAGACCTCTAAAAAAAGAGGTGACAAGCAAAGCATTAACGTGGTCAAGAAGGGAACGTTTTCCAAATTTCTTCCACGTCATGTTTAGTTATCTTTTATTTGTCAGGCAAGCAGCTGCCTATACCAAAAGTGACATAAATAAAACCTTCTTAAGTATTACAACAAGAACATAATCTGCTTCCATAAGATATCAAATGATTTATTTCCTCAGGGCAATAAATGACATTAAAAAAATAATGAAAAAAAATCTAATTATGTATAACAAATATATCTTGTCTCATTTTTAACAAACAAACATTAACAAACATTTTAACATACAAACTTAAAATGTAAATTTCAGGATTGAAAAGACTTCAACAGCTTTAAACTAGTCTTTGCTAAACTGAATCTCAAAACCAGTTTGATAGAGACCTTGTTTAACAAAAGCTTAAACTATCCAAAATTCTCACTAAAAATAACAAGATTTTGATGACTTTGTTTTCTTTTACCTCACAGTTTATGGCTGAAGCTTTAAAACTGGTGCTAATACTTCACTTTTTCAGTAACTTTCAGGGAAAAAAAAGAAAAAGAAAAGAAAAAACCCAAGCACATAACCTACATTCCTGCCAATCATTTTCTCTATGTAACAATTAAACCTCATTCATTTAATATCCAAATTAACTCTTAGTAACACATAACATTCGTGAGCTAAATATGTAATTACCAACCTATGAAGTATTCATGTTCATTTAAAAAAAAAAAAACAAAAATCTGTCTGCTGAGTTATGTTGATGTTTATCTTGTTTGGTTGCTTTTTAAAATTTATTTATTTTTTTTAAAGGTTGCAACTTAAATAGTTTCTTGACTCCTGAGGAACAAACTCTTCAAAAGATCTTCAAGTTAGGCAAGAATAAGCGAACAAGCTCTTACCCTTGTGAGCACTTTCATGTCCTAATAGAGCAGATGGGACCTCCCCCTTAAAGATTTCAGCACATGAACCCCCATCAAACAGTACTTAACTAATTCCTAAAGGACAAAAGGAAATAATCACAACAAAACATAAAAAAACCCAAAAAACATGTTTCCTCTTGTTTCAGAAAACAAGCTCCTTCAGACTGTGTCACAGAAATGCCCAAGCTGCTCCTTTTTTATGTTTATGCCTTGACTTTACCAACACTAAGGAACAACACAAAGACTCCTCTTTATGGCCAGCTGGAAGCTAATGTTGAAATTTTGAAAGCAGTTATTAAAATAAAAGTTAGTTACCTGCATTGACAAAGGGGATCCCATCATATGGGACATACTGAGATTTCCACATCAACCGTGTGGCGGGTTTGGCTGGGCTTGGAGACTGGCGTGTCCCCCACACACTTTGTGTTTGCTGCTTGTGTAGCGTTAGAACACTCTCTAATTCTGTCTCACTCACACAATAGCCGCGGTACGAGTCCCCAATTTTCTGCATGGAAAGGAGGTGAAATAATAGGATTATTCACCCAGCTGACTGCTGAACATTACACAAGAAAACAAAAGCAGTCAGGGACTCTGGCAGGTGAGAACATAGGCCCAGATTTTTGGTGTTTCGTGTTTTTTGTCCCCACATTAGTACCTCACAGAGATTTAATGTAGGATCTAACGCCAGAGCGGTCTCCGCTGAGGTCAGGAGCTTGTCAGCCACCCAAGACCCTAAGAACACCAGGAACCCCTGACACAGTTACAGTTACTGCCAACTCTGATTTCCATAGGACAACTTCACTCCTGTGGTTTCCCCCCAGTACACACTTTGGGTACAGTCACCACCTACACAATTTTGCCTTAGATGAAGTTTTTCACTTGACTGCCACAGAGGATCTCTGAACCACTAATAATTGTCTATGCATGTACTGCAACACACACATGCTCCACTGCACTGGAGCAGAATACACCCACTTATACCACCAGTAACTGTCTCACCCACTTAGTGCACTAACTTTGAATGGAATGTCCCGCATAATATCTCTCCCAGCATTCAATGCACTCTTGATTCTCAACATTACACAGAAACATACTATACCAGGTCTGCCATGTGCAAACTGATGATGGTTGCAATGAACTCTGCTACAATCTTGGCAACTCCACAAAAACTGCATCTAACTAGACTCCAGGTAGTTACAGCTACTCAGTGCCATCACAGCTGGTTCAGTGCTGGTCTACCAGGGCCAGCCAGCTATCAGCAAAACTACTGGGACAGAGAACTTTCCACCCAAATTCAGAATGCCATGCTTCCTTCTGTTCATATGCAGCTCAGGGACAGGTTGGGCAACCGGCTGTAAGTAACACCCAGAGTAGTTTGCCAGCTCAGTCTGTGGGACAAACACACTCCGAATGAGTACCAAAGTCTGATGGAACTCTTTTGCCACCTTCAGTGACAGAGCAGACAGATGTTTAAGTAATACTGACAAAAAAAGCAGCAATGGTGTCTCTTTAAAATTGTTATCGCACAGATACTTTAGTGACACCTGCCTAAAATCTGCCGCATAGTCATCTAAGAAAACCAAAATGTCTGTGCAAAACCTAAATCAACCAAGAACCAACAAAGATCTTGTGAATGAACTGGGCCAGCACGGTGTTGCTGTGAGCGCAAGGCCAGACACTGAGGGTTGTGTGTCCACTGCATGGGAGTCACTCTGAGCCACAAGGTGCTGACACTTCAGCACCCCCTGCTCTGCCAGCACACTGCTCCAGCAGTTAAAGTCTGCACAGGCTGCACCCACACAGCTGTGCAGAGCTAGAGAGGTTGGCAATCGTTTACTTAGAAGTTATAAATAACTTTTCTGTCCAAAACTTGGTCTGAAAAATCCAGGAGAAGCAAAGCAGTCTGAGAAGTACCAGAACTACCTTCCTTACAGAAACCTGGGATGCTGCCTTTCACAGTAGGGATTACAGCACCACTCCACACAATAAATACTGCACAATAAGGTTTTTTTTAATGTTATCTTACACTTGTCACTATAAATAGGACATTGACCTTATTCTAAGGAGATGAGAAGACTGATAAAACTGTTGTGCCAGAAAAGTAGCAATAACGGTTAAGGTACTGTCTCCTGTTCTGGCTTTACTTTTGCACAAGTTAGATCATTTTCCTTAAATTGTTGGCGGGGAGGAGGAGGAGGACAAGAAGAAAATCATAAGCACATAAAATCCCTGCTCTCTACGAGCTTTGCAAGTAGGGAAAAAAAAATCAACAAATGAGACCATTTGCTTCAGAAAAATAAATTTACTAAGCTTTGTAGAGTTAATTAATGCAGTTTATAATTACACTTTATTTCAGTATGCTGATACATGCTGGAAATGCATTCTGATCACACCATTGAAAACTAAGTAGGTTATTGAAAATAGCTGGTTTTAAATTCACTTTTTATTAACAAAGTAATTACCTTGAAGTAATCAGATACTCTCCAACCCTTTCACTCCAAGGTTCAAGCCAAAAAAAGGAGCAATTCCTTTTCTCTCCTCTGGCCTCATCTCAGCAAAGGTACATAAAAGCTTACACTAAAGTACATAGACCAAAACTGCAGTTTCCTTGAGTGAACTAACAGCAGCAGGGTACCAGAGGCATTTTGCTGTCTAGACACAGCTGAACATTTCAAGGCAGTCAGGGAATCAACATCAAACACAAAGCTTAGTGTTAATTTGGATAACTGTAGCTTTTACTCTCTGTGTTTACCTGCAGTACTAACTACCAAAGGAGTCACTGCCCTTTAGGGTGCAGTGGCTTCATCTGCTGACATCTTCTGTGAAAGTCACACAGACCTCAGCACTGTTTGTCTCTATTCTGGCAAGCAACTGCAAGAGTGGAACTGTGAGTTGACAGATTTACCAGCACCCCTCCAAGTTCCAGTAGGACCCCACAGTTCTGTCACTAGTAACAGAATAATATGTAAGACAGTCACACCTGAAAGATAAATGACACCCCAAAATCCCATTGTCTCTAGTCTGTGCCCATGAAAAGGTACATACATCCTAGCAGTCTCCAGTGGATCAGGGAGGATTAGTGCATAGAGGCAACAGTTCTGCTGAGCAGCAGAAGCAGATGTTTATGTCCTCAGAACACTTCAAACAGATAATATTTCTATTTCCTGTTCTATAAAAATAAGAACTCTCCTATAAATGCTGCTGTGAATTTTAAATAGAGCAGGTGAAATTTCTTGTAATAGACAGACAAAGTAGATCATAATACAAGTCCTCCTATAAAATGAAAACAATAATAAATGATTCAGATAAGCCATATGGATATTAAGACAGGAAAGTATGTCCTTAATCTTCGTTCGCAAAGCCTAGCCATGATGATGATGTGCTACATAGTGCTAAAAACACAGTTTAGTGAACTTTACCAACTAACTGGCCAACTGAATTAAGAGACTGATTCTATGAAAATGGTATCTCCACCATGGAAAAATTCCTGCTAATAACTTTCTGACTTCTTAACATTTAAGCGGATATAAGAGCAGACAGTACCATTTGTATGAAATACATGGTATATGAAAAGAGGAAGAGATTAATATATTTAAAAATTATTTCTAAGTGGATACTTAGAAAGAAATTCAATTTCTAAGTCCCTGCAATGGTAATTTCCAGTTATCAGTGGCCAAGTCGATAGGAAAAAACTCAGGTGGTAGAGATATCTAAAGAGATGAAGCAGCTAGAGAGTATAAGATTTCCTACTAAAAGTATTAAGGGAAAGTGAAATAAACATCTATCAGGAAGAGTCTGGTAGCAGGAGGAAGGGGTAGTTGAACTCTCAAGAGTCTTCCCTTCTCCCCTCCCTTCCTTTTAAGTGACTTAGGATACATTCTAGCTGTTGATAGAATCCAGTCATCAGGACAGTTCTGCAGATACCTAACAATATGCAAATAAAGGAAAAGTTCTGTTTAGGTCAAAAGCCATCACAGGGAATAAAGATAGAGCACTTTTTAACAAAAGAGAAAATAAGCACAGGTAACCTAACCTGCTGGGACAAAAAACAAAAAAAAAGACATAGAATATATAAAACAGAAATCCTTAATAAAATATTGACATTAAGGTGCTTTAAGTCTCAGACTTGACACTGGCCAGTCACATGAATTTTCATTTCTGTGTGGTAACACAAACTAGCATGAATAATTGCAGAGGTCAGCAAAGTTTGCCCTGTAGTTCAAAAGCAAGTCCTTACATGGTGCACAATGATTCTTCCCAACACTGTAAGGCATCAGGTTTTCAGCAGCATATTTTTTGCCTCAGAAGCTGTTGCTGGTCAGTTATTCTAACATTCTCAAAATAGAAAAGGATTCCACAGCATTTTATGTGTTTAACTGTGTTAGCAGTACCACTACTATATACCAGGAAGCTTGAACACAACTTCTACAACTATGAATTATTCCTTTCGTGGAATAGGATCACTATCTTAGATCAAGACACTAAAACACCAAGTCAGAATTCTTTGTGGCCCACCTCACAGTTCCTGAGACAGCGTGCCCATGCAGGGGTATTTAGTGGCAAAGGCTGGTGAGGGATGTGAAAAGGATCTTCCATTACCCTGAAAAAGCAAAAAAAAAATAATAGAAGTCTTTACAGACATTCAGGAAAGCAACAATTTAGTCTGAACTACAGGTAACATCAAATCAGTGTATTATGTATAACCCTAGAGCATATGATCCAACCATGGATATTGTATCAACATGCCTTAAAAACCTGGGCTTCCTTTTCTTCATATTCTATTTCATTGTTAAAATAACTTACAATAAATGTAAGTATTAAAAAAACCCACTGTTTTCTACATTCAAGACCTCCAAACATTCAATATTCTTAGTGTTGTTGCTTGACAACAATAGACCAGCTGATTGTCTTGATCATTTTCTTATGCAGACTGATGGGAAAATGCTAAAGACTAAAACCAATATCAAGCACTGCACATTTTAATATATTTTATAAATTACGGAAAAACAACTCCAATAACTATTTTAAGTACACCCCTAGTTTCTCCATTCCTTAAATCCTGGGCCAGAAACAATGCCTACTCAATGTTTATTATTCCAAAACAGGTGCATCACCTCCTGTCTATAAAAATATGCTTCCTTTCCAGGATTATTTTTCTGGCATGTACAGACTGTGTTCTCAACATCCATTCACAAGCTGTTTCTCTTCATTTTACATGTTTCTTGAACACATATAATTTGTGTTGGAGTGAGATGACTCTGATCTTTTTCACATCTCAATTTCTCAAGAGCATAAACCAGTGCAAAGCCAGCCTACAGTCCACAGAGCAAACACCTTCTTTGGGAGTTTTTCTGTTGTCATAAGTTTTTTGTTTGTTTGTTTGTTTTGTTTTGTTTATTTGTTTGTGGGTTTTTTGTTTTGTTTTTTTCCCTTGGTTTTTTTTGTTTGTTTTTGTTTGGTTTTTTTGTTTGTTGTTGTTTTTTTTTTGCTGCTGTTGCTCTATTCGGTTGGTTTGAGGTTTTGAGGGTTTTTTAAAGCAAAAAAGAATTCCAGAGTATTCAGGAATTAAAATAGTAGGCAACATTTAGCATGGAGAGAGAATCAGGTGGATATCAAGTTAAAAAAACCTAACAACTAATTAACTTCAGAAGCTTTGTTAATCAATGTGCCTGTCTAAGTGTTTCACCAAAATACACTGTTACCAGCTACTTTCTCATATTTTACCAAAGGAAACCAAAGAAGTTATCCAGAGAACAAAGACCAGGCTCTCAACAGTTAATGCCAACTACTGAAACCTCTATCTAAAAAATTAATCTCTAAAATCAACTGTTCTTGAGGGAGGATGGTTTATATAGGTTTTAGTACACTCCTACAAGAAACTTTGCTCCCTCAAACATCAACTTTCCCTGCAGTTCCCTCACTGGATCACATTCAACTCTTGGTTGGCAGTAACAGTGTTTATTGAAAGTAATTTCAGTAATTTGCACTGTGTTACTTTAAATGCCCACCAGCACTCCAGTCAGAATATATCCAATTATGTCTGGAATACAGGGAATAGAATACAGGTACTTTAATTGCTTTTTCCACTGCTCTGGCATGTACAAAAGCTGCCTGAAAACCCAGTTAGCTATGCATCATTCACTAACACTAAGGGTTTGTAACCTCCACTCCATGGTAATTTTGTGATAACCATTGCAAAATCAAAACCACAAGAAAAAAAGACAGTGCTAACAGTGAATCGAAGTGATTGTTCATTCTTTTAACTCCCAGCCTACCTGGTGGTTGTTTTTTTCGATACAGTGAGAGATGCCTGTGGGTGTAGAATGTAACTGCTTGCACTGTCTGCTATAGCAGCCACCACCACAGTCTGCAGGTTCCCATCACCACAGTTCTCTTCTGAAGCATCTTTACAAAAATAAAACAGTCTTCTGGTTAATAACTGAACAAAGAATGGGGAAACAAGCAGCTAGGACTAAACCTCATGTTTGGAAAAGCAAGCCTTTTGACATATGAAAGAAGTTTTATAGATGATAAAGTAGTTGAATAGCTGTGAATCAGTACTCTAACTCCAGGCACACATATGCAGATACACTTGATAAGGTTGCTTCTATTCAAGGACTTTGGTAATCACACAACTGCTAATTAATCCTTCCACAGCAAAGCAAATAATCAGAACAACTTGTAAATTACTCTGCCTTACATTTCCACGAATCCATACAGGATTGCACAACTATTTTGCTCAGCTGCAAATCACACACTGGCTGCTTTTAAAATAAGAAAAAATGAGGCAATGATACTGCTTTGTACTTAGTAAAGAACACTTAAACAAGAAAAACAGGCCTCTTATAATTGAATCTGACATGCTGTTAGAGCAAATGTTTTAGCCTTTCTTGGTAATAAGGAGGAATCCATAAGCCAAAAATTACTGTTAGACTGAAGCCTGTGTGTACAGTTAAACAAAAATATAATGGAAAACTGCGAAAGTAGACAGTCGATATTTTGGTCTCAACAAAAAAAACACAAAGTCTCTTTAGATGAAGGATTTTTGCCCTTCAGTTACGAAAGCCTCTTTCCCCCATCCCGAGAGACAGTGATAAGCTATTGACAGAGTACAGAAATCACTCCACTAGAAAGCTCTATGAGAAGATTTGTACGTGTGCACTCAGATCACCACCACTCTGGTTCAAAGCACTGGTTCCTCACAGACATCCCCTTAAGACACTACAGCTACACTGAAGCCTGCGCCATTTCCTGCATTACCAACATGTGCAGACAAGAGAAACTCAAGGGCTGACAGGCCATTCTCCTTGCCCTTTAATCTTCATAGTAAACCACTGACAAGTCTTCCTAACTGTCTGCTAAAGATCAAATAACTACAAAGTCTTTTATACAGTAAGTCTCTAGGAAAAACAAAACAAAACAAAAAAATCCCACCGAAAACCCCTCTACCACTATTGTAGAACGTGTATTCACACACTATGACACAGAGTCCCATGTAGGATGAACAATAGCAACACAGATACTATTCAGCATTGCAACATAGTGCTTACAAACAGTAGCAACAATTGTTTCAGCACTAAAGGCTCACAGTCAGCTTTATAAGTAATATAAGACTGTGCTGTAACCAAACAGTGGTCTTATCCCTGCAGGAGAGGAAAGGGAGGGAAGGTTGAGCGTTAGGGCAGGAACAAGCCTTTCAATGCAAGGTCATGGAACTACACTCCAACTGTAAGTGAAAAGGGCTGGATCATGACTTGAATCCCAAATCTTCTATCCACCCAGCATCAGGACTCTAGTCCTACCTTTGAGCTATCATTCCACAGGAGCACTTAACTACTGCTCGGATTTTGAGAATTTCATAGAGAGAATGAAAAAAGTTTAAAAAACCTTTGAGAGTTTAACAAAATGTGACCACCTAGTTTTCAGTCTTTGCATTCTCATCTCTGTGAATGCAAACTAGTACACAGCATTTTGCCATCCAGCAAGGCTTGCAGATAATCAATACTCTCAGATCTTAGTACGTCCATTTTCTAGAGAAAACCTTAAAATTTGCACTTCTAGTTGTACATCTCCCCTCATACTTAAAATGTGACAATTATCATATTGCAACAAAGTGAAAGTTACATCTCATTTTCCTTCACTGGGGACTGAATTTCTACCAGGCAATTCACTCCTGGCTTCACAAAAGATGCATCATCACCAGTGATTTCTGCAACAGAAGAATTAATGTCATCCTGGTCTTTCTGCACTACACGAATTAACTACTTCACTCAAAATGAAGTAAACAGACAGTGAAAATTTGAAGCTGATAGTACAGCTGTCTGACAGCATAAACATCCTTATCAATGCTAAATAAGGCAAGAAACAATTCTGCTTGATATCTCAATCTACCCATCACATATCCTTCGGAAAGGGGACATAATAGCTCTTCTTAAGGCTTTTGCCCAATAGAAAATGTGGTGTGTGGCATGCCAGATTCATAACCAGAAAGCAGATTCAGGATGTATTTTGTCTCACAGCTGACTAAGGAAAGGAAACACACACAAAGAAGGTGCTCAAAAAGAGATCATGCAGGATGCACTCAGGAATTCACACCCTCAAGTCCCACAGGTTACACTCACCCTGCGTGCTGGTCACATCCAGAAGCCGACCCTGAGGAATAATCACTTGGGTCACTCCTGGCTGAGCAGAAGGAATGACATGCAGCACCTGTCCATTTTCTGACTGGCTGGCAACAATCATCTGTAAGGCAATCACACAAAAGCAGGAATGGCACTTGTTTGTATGGAGATCATGCAGCATGACTGGGTTTGATTATCACCAGTACAGGAAACATTTTGGTTGGAATTAGGGCCTATAAATTAACTTTGTTTCACATGATAAGAAAACTGCCTATTTACTGTCAATTTCTTAAAATTACTTTCCCCTTTTTAAAATAACCCTTTAACTGAATTAAGGAAAGGAAAAAACCCACCACCTTACATGATTCTACAATGAATGACACATTTCTTTGAAATTTACAATACTATGAAAAACCTGAAAGCCATTCATAGTTGGATTCACTGTAAGCCCTTTCACAGACTAGCAAAATTAATCATAATATGTAAAAATTTTGACCTTTATTTCTGAGAAACTGACCTCTCTGGGCAGTATTTAATGCAAAAGTAGATAGAAGAAAAGTTCCAGGACTTGCAAAAATACAAATTAAATTATCTAGAATTTTGAAAAACGTAACTCCTTATGATGTTAATTATAAAGGACTTGTTCCCAACAATGTTACAAAACCTAGAGTAACATAAAAGATCATCTTGTTTCTGATTAATTACACTTTAAATGGGTGAAGTGTCTTTAGTGACAGCACAATACATGCCAACCAAGGCCTCTAGATAAGAGTTACCTTTTTACAAAACAGCTGTTAAAATTACAAAGCAATGTTTTAAGCAAATTAATTGTGGGGTGAGGGTGAATGTGAAATATAATGGGTTAGCTTATTGCTAATGTTCCAATCCCTCAAGAAAAAACAAGAGACTTATCCAGGGAATATAGAGAATGCAGCAGCAGTAGAAGTATGAGATCTCATACACAACAACATCCAGGCTTGATAATGGCAAAAGACGTTATGTTGTTGTTTATTATTAGTAATGGCTGAAGACCATGAAGGATTTGCCTACCTGAGGGGGGGAAACTGAAGCATGAACTGAACCACTGAAAAGTTTCACCTTGTTGCTAAAGTCTGAATCAGCTGTTGCTACAACAAACAAGCAGCATGTAAGAGAGTTCTTCAAAGGGCTCCCTCGTCTGTGAACACACCACCAGCCCCGTTCTCAGACACACTCACCATGGGTGCACTGGGCCCTCCTGGGGGCTGCAGCTCACAGAGAGGCTGCCTGGTTTGGTCTGCCAGCTGGAACTCCTCTGCAGAGGGAGCCCGTGGCTGGGGTGGCCGTGCCGGCACAGCCGAGGATGCAGAACTGCCTAAGAGGTGGACTGTGATGGGCAAGGCAGCAGGAGAGTCACTCTGGCCAAACAGTGGGTCCCTGGAATCCATGCACGTTAGATGCTTTCACAGAGGAAAAACAGTAAAATGTACTTTGAGTAGCAACTTCTATTAGGAAACAAAAAAAAAAAAGAAAGGGAAAAGAACATTTAAAACCAGTGTGCTGTGTTGTATACTTGGAGGGAGTTTTTGTCCTTCTGATCAAGAGGCTAATACTAGCAGTTCTACTTCTGATTTCCATTTCCAAGGTGAAAAAGTATTCATATTCCTGCTTCCCAGAACAAACCCTCTCTGCTAAGGGCAGAATAAACCCCTTCTGCTTGAAATCTGCTCCCCAAAACCAATTATCACTTTAAAATACCTCAAGTCTACCCAGAAACTGAGAGAACTTGCACCAAAAATGAAACTGTAAAACATTCACCAACTTGATTTAACTCGAAAAGAAATCCTAGATACTATTCTACTTGGCCTTTAGATACATGCATTTAGCTATGAAGACAAAAATCTCTATACATGTTTGTAATTCTTTACCACAGAAGAAGCACAATCAATACAATCTCCAGTTCAAATCCAAGAATTGTACAGCACAAGGCCAAGAATCAGATTTTCAAATTCTCAAAAAAATAAATATTATTCTTATCAAGTTTGCAGAATGAAAGTCTTATAATACGTCCCATTTTTTTAAAATTTAAGTGCATGGGCTCAGATATCTGCCTTGTTGAAACTCTAACAACATAAACATTAAGCATACAAAAATAATGGAAAACAGGCAGCCCTTATGTACAACAACACGTCATGCTGTCATTTGGCCAATGCAAGAAGGGCTGCAATTTGTTATATCTCTTGCAGTAATTGCACAAAGAACTCTGACGTTCCCACTACAAATATTTACACACTACAAATCAAAGAATGGAGAAAAATGTTTCTAAATTTTATATAAAAGTCACATTTGCGCTAAATAATCCTGTCAAAAAATCTGCAGGCATAAATCTCCTGTGCTGAAACTGTAAAATACACCAGAAAAGCAGCAACAAATACATGACACTACTTGTATTAAAGACACTTTGCAGAGACCATAAGCACACTACTAAATCACTACCTGAAGGATATTTTATGTTAAAAGAATATTCTGCAGAAGAACATTCACGCACAGAAATCTCCTTGAATAGGAATATCTGGCAATATTTGATAATATATAGCTAAATAAAAGATTCCCCTTCTCCAATACCTACACAGATGTCCTGTGTCCCTGGACTCTTGTTTGACACATCTGGTCACTAAGCAACTTGACCGGATTTTCAAGTGTTCTGAACCTCTCCTACTCCAAGACATGTCATCAAGTATTCTTTTTCTGAAGGTTTTTGTTAACACAATAAAACACGTCTTTCTTCAGCACTTTAACAGGATCTATTAATACAATTACTGATGGTTGCCATTACATGCAACATCTGGATATTCATCAGTTCAAAACTGAATAGCACAAGAACCAAAGGGAAAGAACTTTTGTATTTTTTTAAAAGACACAATTGTGTTACCATAAAGGCATAAAAAGCCCAGTGCACTGATGAAATAGAACACTAAGTTCATCAGAGAGGATGTAATGGAAGCATCTACAAGGACAAAGCATTTGTATCTCACCTGGAAAACCTGATCATTTGTCTCGGACTCTCCTGCACCATCGCAGTTGCCTACGAACAAATCGTTAGGTCCTTCCGTAGCAATGTCATGGTCAGCTCCGTTTTCTTTCATTACAAGGTGACCTGAAAAAGCCCAGAAGTTTAGTTCAGCTTTCTGCCAAGACATTGCTGCAGGTGTTTTCTTTGCCATTGCAATCTAACAGCAAAGTCCTCAAGAAATCCTTGCCCCTTTATTACTCGCTGCAGAAAAACTTCAGTGTGTTGCTCCAGGAGTATAGTTTAGCCTCTTATATGAGACAATTTGCTTGACTTGTCATTGCACACACAGACACAAAACACATATACACCCTCCCATCATTTTCATCTAAATATTTCCATAAGCACTGAACTAACAACCGTACACATCCAGAGAACGCTTGATATTTAAACACATGCCAGCACTGCACACAAATACATTATTCACCTACTTCCATAATCAAAAGACAGAATTTGCATGATACAACTCCATCATGCATAACATCTTGAAGTAAACAGCATTTGTTTTAAAGGGTTATAAAACAACATATAAATGAAATAAAAGTACTATTATTAGTCTACAGCAGTATGCTTTGGGCAGGAAAACACCTAAATTGAAGCAAAATTTGGCATTAATCCAGTGATGAAAGACAAAAAGACAGAGCTACCAGCACTTCAGAGATGTACCTCCTATCCCAAAGAAAGCTTTAAGAAGCTCAGTTGCCCACTACAAACCTTCAAGCAAACAGAGAACATTGGACAGTGAACCGCCACATCCACAGGATGATGCTCTCAGGGACACAGTACACCCTTTAAAGCAGTGACCAATCCCAAATATTCACAAGCAATGAGACAAAATGACAATTAACTTGGCCCCTACGTTAGAAGTGTACTAATATATTAGACTACACACATAATATGCCCAACTGAATAGAAGAAAACTTAATTCTTGCAGTTTGGGATGAAGGAGAGGGAAAAGTGTTCAGGATTCTTCCCTTCAGTACCTACTTTAAAGACAGGCTGTGTTATATTAGCACATGATTCCTACCAGCTTCTTCGTCACCCCACGCAAGTAAATTCCTCAAGATCGACCTTCTTGGCTGTGGTATTTCAACCATTTACAGCTTTAGTAAGGAGAATGTTAAAGGCAAGAGAGTAACTTGAAAGGAACCGTATAACTCTGAAAGCACAAATTTATGCTGCTTTGCAAAGGCATAAAGGACACAGGCAAAGTAAATCTTCATCTCCTTGGCTTTTGAAGCTGAATACAAACAACATCCTGCTGATACAAACAACATTGAGAAGTTAAGCTGCTCATATGCTCAATATATTAATACTTTAATCTAAAGCAGATTTATTTTTCCATTCAATTTTCAAGTGATGACACTCCAAACCAAGTTCCAAGTGAAGTTACCTCATGCTTACCAAATATTTTGGAGCTTTGGATCTGCGAAAAATTATGAGGTGTTTCAGTTACGATGCCTGAGGCATGTTAGCAGCAAATGAAAAAAAAAAACCAGAAAACTAGATTTCATCATCATTCAACCATTTCCTCTCAGTTTGAAGATGTAAAGAAGACATGGCAGTTTTGCTAAAGCAGCACATTTAGTTCTTTGAGATAAACTAAGTCTGTTCCAGAGATACCGATGGCACATACTTTGAGCATGCTGGAACCCAGCAACAGAACGCAAGGACAGCTGTCTTGGGACATATCCTCTATCTATTATGGTTAATAACAAAGCTCAGGGGAAAAAATACAGCAGTAGGATAAATATATAGTGATATTTATCCAGTTTCTTTTTATAAGCAGCCCAGAAATGCCTAAAGTTTTATAAAATCAAACAGGCTCTCTGAAAAAGTTCCCCCTAAGGGCATCCGCCACTCTCCAACCATGCAACAAATTCACAGGGGGCACGAATTACATATCAGGGAGGAAATTAGGGCACAGTTGATACTCTTAAGTACAGGAGTTACAATTAGCTTTATATTAACTTGTACCAGGTTTGAGATCTAGCTTATCTCTGTCATGGAAGAGCAGGCAGATGCTGTTAAGAAGAACTGGGGGCTTCCACTTAAGAGGTTTCTCAAGAGATTTTTGTGTAGATAACACCGGTAAACTGGAAGATGCACCCTTATCACTTACGCTGACCACGTTAGATCTTTGAAGTATAGTTAAGAAATAGAGGAGATTTCAGAGTCTCACAAAACAAGAACCAACACCTGCCCACTTCTGAACCTCTTTCAGGAGTCCCCACAACCCGAGTCACCACCGGGTAAAGCCCAGCTGTTCACCAGAGACCACGAACGACTGTCAAAAAGGTGGGAAAAAATGTACGCGTAACCCGAGCACACCGCAGGTCCTCACACAAGCAGCCTTCTCCCAAAACACAAACTCACTTACAGCTTCTTTTAAAGCCCACCGCGCCTTGGGTTTGTTACTTCCAGCAGGCACTTTATAGTGGGTGTGTCGCTCGACGTGCACAGAAACACAACCCGAGTTACTCCAAGCAGAGACCGCCACTCCGGCGCCCCTCAGCGCCACACGAGGAGCTGCCCCCGCCGCCCGCCCGGGGCACAGCGCCGAGAGCGCCGCTGAGGGGCGGCCACGGGAGCCCTTCCAGCGCCTGCCAGCGACCCCCGGGACGCGCCCCCCGCGCCCCAGCCCTGAGGGGCGCAGAGGGCGCCTCCCCCCTCGGCCCGCGCCCGTCACACCGCTCCGCCGCGCGGCCCCGGGCGGGGTTAGCGGGACAGCCCGGCCCGGTGCCGCCGCGCCGGGGGCAGGTGCCGGGGGCGCGTTCCCCCACCTGGGCTCGGCTCCCGCCGCAGCTCCGCCATGCGCGCCGCCGCTCCGCGCACGCGCGCCCGCCCTCGGCACTGAGCGGGGCGGGGGCGCGCGGGGGGCGCCGGGAAGGCGGCGGCGCGCGCGGCGTCTCGGGAGCGCGGCAGGCGCGCGGCCGCGTGGGGCTGGGAGGGGGCTCGTCACGACACGTGGTCGGTGTCGGCGACAGCAGCGACAGCAGCGGCGATGGCGCAGCTCACGGCGCGGTTCCGCACCGAAAACCGCAGGTGAGGGGCCGCCCCTCGCGGGCCGGGGGTGGGTTCGGGGCGCGAGTAACGCGGAGGCGGTAACGGCGCGCTGTGCCCGCAGGTTCGCCGTGGAGGATGTGCCCTTCTCGGTGCCCGCGGCCTCCGAGACCTCCGACCTCAGCCAGCTCATCAACAAGCTGCTGGCGGCAGCGCACGGTGGGTACCGCGGCGGGGGCGGCCCCTCGGAGCCCCCCGGTTTCTCCCGGTGCCGGAGCCGGTTCCCCCCAGTTCCCCCGGTGCCGGTGCCCGGCGGAGCCCCCCGGTGTCCCCCGTGTCCGGCCGGGCCGGGCCGGGCCGCGCCGGTGCCGCCGCAGAACCTCGGGCTGTCACAGTCGGGGCACCCGGGGACCCTCGGCGGGGACGGCGTCAGCCTGAGCCCGCCCTGCCCCGCTGTCTGGGCCTGGTTGCCCGCAGTTAGGCACTCCTGGAACTCCGTCTGAAACCCCGCAGGTACCGGGGCTGGACGGCAGTCCCGGGAGAGATGCTCCAGAGGCTGGGATAGTGTGTGCCCAGCGCCACAGGCCAGGCTGCCACAGCAGATGGGAGTGGAAGCGCTGCCCAAAACCTGGCACAAGAACTGACGAAACCAAAGGTTTGGGTTTTATGAAAGCCTTTGAGAAAAGCTCAGCCACTCTGTCAGTGCCAGCTGAAATGAGCCTGACTGACTCGAAAGATTTTCTGGGGAAAGACACCTGTGCAATGCTGTTGAAAAATCCCGTGTTCTATAAGAAACTGGACCAATGGTATCTAATTGAGTCTTCTGCAAGTTGCTTTTAACCCATGAAGTCGCAAACAACCTTGAATAGAAAGCTAGTGCATAGTGCAGTGCTTCTGCCAAAATGTGGGGCCTTTGTCAACTATGCCATTACAGAGGGAGAAGTGTGAACCAAAAGTTCCTAGGATTTTCATTTTGCTGCCACAAATACAGGGCTCTAGCTGATGGTAACAAAGATGTGGACTAGCAGTGGCAAGACCCATACAGAACAGTATGGAAGCACCACTGGGGTTTGATTACACATAGCTACAGAAAAATTACAATAAGAGGTGAACTTAACTCTTTGAACCCCAACAGCAAATTTTCCATCCTCTGAAATAATCCACTGGGATTCATGGGCTACTCACTTAAAACTGGGAGAAGAAACTAACTGATTTGGTTGGGGTTTTTTTTTTCTGTCATTTTTGGTTGGTTTGGGGGTTTTTCTTCAGTTTTGTTTTGGTCTTTTTTTAACCTCTTCCTGTCTCCTTCTCCTGTACTAGCCACAAAATGATGCTGTTCTTGATGGTATCAAATAAACAGTGACACCTGAACATGGATTTTTCCTAATTTGTTTTAGAGGATCACAAATATGTGGAATTTGATTTCCTTATCAATGGCCAGTTCTTGCGAGTGCCGCTGGTCACACACATGGAGATGGAAAATATCTCCACGGTAAGTTATACTCAATTTCTCCCCTCCTTGGGCAGCAGAACAGACCTAGCCAGTTTACTTCAATCTGCTTTAGGTATTACACTATCATCCTGACTAGGTAGATTTCCTTGCTTGGTTTTACTTCTTTTATGACTTTCCCGGGAGAATTCCATGTATTTTTAAATCCATTCTGAACTGCAAAGTGATCAGAGACTATGGGACTGAGCAGTGCAAGGAACATCGTTACCCATTCTTTTGTCTGTATACAGTCCAGAGGGAAAATTCTTGTTTTATTCACTTCATTGTTAATATGTTTTTGTTTCTTACATTGGGGGATAATGGGGAAGGTTAATATTACCTCTAGAAAAACGTTGTGAAGTGCTGTAGACACCAGTTTTGTATGGTAAATACAGAAGAGCATTCAAGAAGAGCAAAATTACTTGCTTTTGCTTCCAGCTTGCTATTAATAGTAACTTGATAAAAATACGGAAAGCAATATAATTCACACTTGTTTTCTAAAGACTTTAGTTCCACTATTGTGGCAAAGGACTTAGGTACCGAGATCTTTGCTTTTGTGTATTTGTACCAATGCTACAGTTAAATTTTATTGTTACTGATTAAAAAAACCAAAACCTCAATAAGTAAGTATTTTTTCTGTGAGCTCAGGAAGAAGTGGTGGAAATAGAGTATGTGGAGAAATATATGGCCCCTCAGCCAGAAGAATGCATCTTCCACGATGACTGGATCAGTTCTGTTCAAGGCACTGAAGAATGGTACCACACTAAGCCAATTCTAAGTTTTGTCTTGCTTGTTCCTGTTCCTCCATAGTGTTAAATGGGTGGAGTTTTTTCCCCTCTTTGCTCTGTTTCTGTTTTATTTTTTTTAACCTGGCAAGTCAATCAGCTACTTGCTTTTGTAAGCAGTTCACTGACAATAACTATAACACAAGTAGAAAAAAGCCAGTCACTGAACATGAGGTATTGCTAATATAAACAAACAAAACAAATGCTGTTTACTATCCTTTCTCTTAAAGGACAGTGATATTTCCTCATCTCTTTTGCTTAAACCCTTGACTTCCAATGTGATGCTCATTAGCAACAAATAGAATAGTGTAACTTTATGCAGAGTTTATCTTTAAAAAAAGCCAAACAGCCATAATTGTCTTATTCTACTGTGTTTTCACATTCATTTCCCAGTCAACCAGATGATGTTCATATGTTAAGCAATGGTTTGAAAATGCTTTGAGAACCTCTAGTAATATACTAGAAACAACAAATTAAATTTTAAATTATGTAAATTATATAAGTGATTTTCACTTACCAGAATATGCAGTACTCTCATTGCTTTTCTTTTTGGCCTGTACTCCTAGCCCCTCGCTTGTAGGCTTTAATGAAGCTTTGCTCTGTAACAAAAAGACTTTTTTTACTTTTCCAAGCTATTTCTTTTTAAACCAGTTATTGTGCTAATATTTTTCCAAGTTTCTGGTTGAGGCTTTTTTTTCATAAAAACACTGTTGGTCCTAAAGACAATGATGTTTCAAATTCTGTACCCTGTAGGATATTAACTGGCTGCTATGATCAGACTGCTCGAGTCTGGTCTTTGGAAGGAAAATCCATCATGACAATAGCTGGGCATACAGAAGTAGTGAAGGATGTGGCCTGGGTGAAACAAGGTCAGTATATATGTTAGGGCAGTCGTAATACTTTGAGTTACTGGGGGAGAAATGTCAGCATTCCTCAACCATGAATATTTAATTATCTAAATGCTATAATTATTTCGGTCTCTGTCAGTGGTGTTAGAAATGAAGTCATGGTGTGGCTAAAATAGTTTTTTAACGGTAATGAATATAATTACTTTAACGTGTACCTTGTCTATCCACCTTGCAGTCTTCATTAGTAAATAGTGGTAAATATATTAATTGTACTTGCAGGGTAACATGATGTAAACTGAAATACATACGAGTTTCTATCCAGCTGCTATTTCTTCTCTGATTAGAATAATTATAGACTATAAAGACTTTGGAAGGCTGAGTTGGGTGTGAGCGTAACTTTTTTCTTCCTCAGACAGTTTATCGTGCCTGTTACTCAGTGCTTCTATGGACCAAACTGTCCTGCTGTGGGAGTGGAACATGGAGAAAAACAAAGTGAAAGCCCTTCACTGCTGCAGGGGACATGCTGGGAGTGTAGACTCCATAGCTGTGGACTGTACGAAAACCAAAGTGAGTGACTCCGGGAAAGAAACCTTTGTATTTGGGGATGTTAGCAGCCCATATCCCAAAAATCGTCTTTTTGTCCCTGCATAGGTACTTGTCATAATGTTTTTCGGACTGACACACTGATAAGTTTCCAGCCTTGTTATAAAGGTGGTTACTGAGAATTAGGAGTGCTATATCAATGCTAAGCCATAGAATCATAGAATCCTTTAGGTTGGAAAACAAGTTAAATGGTTGTTTTAAAGTATATTTTACTTTAAATGCATGTGAATTTTGTGTTATGGTGAGCTATTTTCAAATTTGACCTAAATTTTCACAATGGTTTTGGTGGGGGAAAAAAAACTTCCAGAGTGGTACTCAGAAAAAGTAGGTGGGTAAAGAGGTTCTTTCCCTTCATGCAGGAATTCAACAATTACAAGCACTCGCATCAGAGGTGGAGTTATTGCTCCCAGCTTGACTCTATCAGACAAGTTAAAGTAAAACCTTTTGGCGCTGAAGGAAATAGATATTTAGTAGATATTTTCCCTACAAAGGAAGGAAAAAGAATAATTTTATCTATGCCAAACATTTGTTTGTTTTAGGATCCCAGCACAATTGTTCACGTGTTATAACCATTGGGTAATTTTTCAAGTAGTTCTGTCTTGCAAGGGGCTGGCTGGATCAACTTTTAACCAAATATTTTTGTTCATACAGTTCTGCAGTGGATCCTGGGATAAGATGTTAAAGATCTGGTCTGCAGGTAAGATGTAAGCTTGTAAGGCTATATTAAGTTACTGGTTTGGTTAATTACACAATTTCAGGTATGGTTATCCACCTGCATGATATTTGTAGGCAGTGTAAATACGGGGTTTTGTTTAATTACTTGCATGGAGATGGAATTCAAAAACTTCTGGCTCATGTCTGCCTGTCTTCTCTCACAGTACCTACAGATGAAGAGGATGAAATGGAAGAAGCAGCAAACAGACCACGGAAGAAGCAGAAAACTGAACAGTTGGGACTAACGAGGGTAAGATGAGCTCCAGGTTTGTCCAGGATTTTTCTTTAGAAGTGTGGCCACACAAAATTTCCCATGGCTGTATGAAAACTTCTGATGTGTTCAATCAGACACATTTTTATTTATTGAAAGAATTGATTTTTTGATGATATTCAATCCAATCTGTCACCATTAAATTCTAGACTCCCCTGGCAACCCTCTCTGGCCACACAGAAGCCGTCTCCTCTGTGCTGTGGTCAGATGCTGAAGAAATTTGTAGTGCATCATGGGACCACACCATTAAAATCTGGGATGCTGAGACTGGAGATCTCAAATCTACTTTGGTGAGATCATTATCCTCTGTCTGTAGGTTCAGCTGAAGTCCAGCTCAGAGAAAAAGAAGTTGCACAAAATAGTAGCTCCTCTCTTAGAATTACTGTTTGCTTTTCTGACAGACAGGAAACAAAGTGTTTAATTCTCTCTCCTTCTCACCACTGTGTCGACGTCTGGCATCAGGCAGCACTGACAGACATATTAGGCTATGGGATCCTCGCAGCAAAGGTGAGCTAAAAACATGCATGGTCTCAGAGTTGTTTTTCAAAATCAGAACTTCTTCCTGTTGGGAGACATCTCAAACTGTTTTCTGGTCCCTCTGCTTGAAACCAGCCACTTAGGGGCTTTTATTAAATACAAAGATTACATCTATTTTCTGTAATCTGGTGTAATCTTTTGTTTCCTTACATAGTAATTTAGAAATCTAACTGAGCTTAGGTTTTGCTTTGGTTTTTTCTTAAACTTCCTAATGTTCAACTGTGCAGTTGCAGGACTGAACCTTTTTTTTTTTTTTGTAAGGTTAATACTTAGGTTGGTCAGACCACCATTAAAGTGAAATAGTAGTAACTTAGACATGGTACTCTATATCATAAACAGATAGGATTGATAGGATTGTGGATATTATGACTGAGCCTACCAGACTTATTTTCATGGGCACATTTCATAGAATAGAATCAGAACAGTTTGACTTGGAAGGGACCTTAAAGATCGTCTTGTTCCAAAACCCCTGCCATGGACAGGGACACCTTCCACTACACCAGGTTGCTCAGAGCTCCATCCAACCTGGCCTTGACCACTTCAAGGGATGGGGCATCCACAGCTTCCCTGGGCAACCTGTTCCAGTGCCTCACCACCCTCACAGTAAAGAATTTCTTCCTAATATCTATTTTAAAACTACTGTGAGTTCAAAGCCATTCCCCTTTGTCTTGTCACTACACACTCTTGTAAACAGTCTTTATCTTTCTTGTAGGCTCCCTTCAGGTACTGGGAGGCCACAGTTAGTAAACAATGTTTACTTCTTTAGCTTCTGTAAATCTGTAGCATCTTATATGTTGTTAATAAAAGCAATTTTTGTTTACCTTTTAGAAAAAACATTGGAAAGAGAGTTTAGTTATAAGAAAATACATCTTGCGTTTTGTTTGGGGTTTTTTTGGTTGGTTGTTGGAGGCTTTTTTCTTCCCCAGAATTTTGTGTGACTTAAATTTTTGTTCTCTTTCTTTAAAGTTCGCTTTGATTTTTTGAAGTTACAATTACTGGTGGGAGAAACACTTAACTTGAACACAAGGAAGTTGCTGACTGCTTTTCTCACTGGATTTTATATGCAGTTGGCATCTGCTGATGTCTGGGGTTTTTTTCCTCCTTTTCTGTTCAGATGGCTCCTTGGTTCTGCTGTCTCTGACTTCTCACACAGGCTGGGTGACATGTGTGAAGTGGTCACCTACCCACGAGCATCAGCTGATCTCTGGTTCTCTGGACAACATTGTGAAGCTTTGGGACACGAGGAGGTAACATAAACCTGCATTTTGTTGTTGTTCAATAATAAAAGCAGTCAGAGACATTGATTAGAATCTCCTGTGGCATCTGTGAGAATCCTCTAGGTTTTGGGAGTCAGGCATATAATAAAAGAGAGAAAAATACTTTTACACTACTAGGGGGCCTGTGGCTTAATATCTGAGGGGGCTGCATGGTGCTCCAGTGGGACTTACCTGGCAGTAACAGCAGCATTTGGTGACATGCAAAAAGCAGCAATCGTAACATTGCCACTGAGATTAGGAACAGCAAGTGGTCTGCTGACCACTATTCTATTTTAAGGAACAAAATAATTCTCTTTCTAAGGAAAGATCCTAACAGTGTGAAGTTTCACTTCATACACTTTTCAGATCCTTCATTACAGGTTTCCAAGCAGTGAAATGCTTTGCATTCAGAAGACAGAAATGGCTTTCCTGGAAAATGCACACAGTTGAGCAGCATCCACACATGGAAGAAAGAAACTAAATAATAAACTGTTCCTAAACACTGGTTAAATTTCAGTATCAAGGTAGTTTGCAACTAGATGAAGGATGTTGCTGCTTTGCTCTTCAGGGATGTAGGAGAGGATAATACTAATATGATCAGCTCTGGGGAAAGCAGTGGAAACATCACAGATGGTAGATATCTGTACTTTCTTAAAGTATTTATAATTGCTTGATCATATCTGTTCGATAGCTTTGTGATATTATTTCTTCCAGGAACCAGTTCTATTTTCTATGATTGCTCACGTAATTTCAAACATGTGACTGTAAATACCTGTTTTTTACTAGTTGCAAAGCTCCTCTGTATGACTTGGCTGCTCATGAAGACAAGGTTTTGTGTGTGGACTGGACAGAAGCAGGGGTAAGAATCTGAAGAGCAAGTTACTGAATTTATGAGTGGTGGTTAGGATGAGGGCTAAAAGCAGTCATGGACTGTTATGCCTAAAAAGACAAGAGAACTGGAAGTTTGAGTTGTGCTGTGGTTGATAACCGGGTGTTACTGTCACACGCACTGCAGCACATCCCCACACTCCTGTGCAAAGGAGTAGGGTGGGAGCTGGAGCTCTGTAGCATTAACTCAGTGTTATACTGATATTCCAAACAAGGAGAGCCACGAGAACAGCACTGCACCTCACGGAGAAAATACATGTTCCAGGGCACCATTTTCTGCCACTGAGACTAAAGTGGCAGCATGAAGTGGAAGCTTGTGCATGCCAGTACATGTAGAAGGGGGAAACTATATAATCCTCTATAGGAAACTTACCTGCTACTGTAGTGGTACACGTTTTTAAAATGACCAAAATGACCCCATTTTGTTGACATCCCAAGATTCTCATTGTGGCTCCTGTTGTCAGTAAAAGTCAGGAAAAACTTTAGCAAAGTTCCTACGAAAACTTTACTTGTAATTTTAAGAGGAGGGTTCTGCACATTGATTCTGGGTTTTAGTCATGCATTAACAGTTCATTATTCATTACTTCTTTTTATGTCTTCAAAGGAAAGAAAAATTGAGTCCTCGACTTGTGTACTTGTTTTGCTTAGTTCTGATATTAATCACAGTTTTCTTCTCTCATCAGTTGTTACTGAGTGGAGGTGCAGACAACAAACTGTATTGCTACAGATACCCAGCTACAGCCACTGATGTTGGGGCATGAAGGTCAACAGCCAGAAGACTTTTCTTAAAAAAAAAGGAATTTTGCAGCAGTTGCTCTCTGTTAACATCCCTACACAATCAACATCTGAAGAAATGACAAGTTTGTTGCTCAGAGAGCTGTTCCTGGTTTTCTATTGGTAACCTATATCCATATTTGTCACAGAAAAATAGCAAAAAACAAATAGGATTCATGTGAAGCAAAGCAAAGGGAACTTCCTCCCTTTCTGATGGCTTTGAATTAACATGTTTTAAATGAATATTTGTATAGCCCTTTTAATAAGAAGTAAATTGTTGCCGATACTTACAGAAAAACTACTCACTGACTAAATTATTTTTTGAGTTTACCTGTTTTCCCCTGAAAAAAAAAATAAAGATCTTATCAGCAGTTCATTGGTTTAGTGCATCATTTCAGAAGAAAATCAGATTTCAGCTCTCCTCTCAACAGGGCTGTTGGCAGTTCTTACAAATAAGTCCTTAATTGATAAACACAGGCTTTTTTTCTAGGAGGAAGATTTGGTATGTTTGCAGTGCAAGGGGCTTGATATAAAGGAACTTGACAGATTTACTGGCACATGAAATATTCCAATTTGTTGGAGCTCATAAATTAGGGCTGTAGATGTCTCTGTAAATGTGCCTGCCTTGTGCCACAGTACACGTTGTGTTGCAGTACAACTAACGCAGTATATCTTGCTTCTAGAAAGCAACAGATGTATTGAAACAAGTGGAGAATCACACAGAGAAGGCAGAAGACTAAGTGATTTGTTCCTAGAAAGAGTGGATACAAGAAGCTGCAATAGCTTTTAGGTTGATAAAGAATAAGTACCATCCAAACATGCTCAGTTTCTCTGCTGGTGGTTTTGCTGTTGGTTCAGCATTAAAATGAAAAAGCTATTCCTGCAGCTTGTTAGATGCCGTGTGTGTGATGTTAAACCAGCACATAGTTCAGTGGAAACTGAAAGTGTGGAAACCAAACTTGAATAGCCTCACTAATGTCTTGCCTTTCAATAAATGTAAGACCTGTACAGAACAACTAAGTCAAATGTTTTAATTGCAAGATAATTTTCTTTGAAGAGTGACAGCTCCGACCTTCAGGTTTATAAGACAGACAAGTTCTGAGTACGGAGTTTTAAGAAATACCAGAACAGCAAAACTGTAGTGAAAATGGCAAGGGTACAGGGGAAGATCTCTGATCCCTTTGGTCTGCAAGTGAAGTACTGCAATTAACAGAATATTAACAAATGCTGCTTACAAGGAATCGGTGTCTTGTCCTTATTATCCATGTGCATGTTCTTAGTACATGTTTGTCCATTCTAAAGCAATATATGCCATTCATACATTAATATAGCAGCTAATTTTTTTCTTCTTTAAACTTGATTCATTTAAAACATTGCCTTCTATTTACCCCACAGACTGGAACTTGTAAATAAGGTCTGAATAGCTATTTTGTTTTGTAAACTTACCAAAAATACGAAGCATCTTTTGAGCAGGAACATGCAGCACTCCCTTGTCCTCACTATTAGAGATGTGTATAATTTCACACTACACTTGTGGATATGCCAGCCTATTGTAGCAATCATTGGTCTACTGTTCATAAAAGTTTAAAAATATCTCTTAATAATTTTTTAGTATTAAAACAAAAAAAGAGTAATATCCTCCGTCAGTAATCCTTAATACAGTACACCTGACTTTTGGAGGTCTTAACCAAGTAAAGTTTGCAGATGTTTTTAGTGGAAAGCAAGGCAGCAAAGACAGTTAGGAAACTGTTTCATTTCTCTTCAAGACTCCCAGTGACAATTCCATGTAAAGTCTTGAGCTATTTTGTGTATTATGTTTATTACACTCTTTTCAGTTTTTCTTTCAGATAAATTACACCTGAGCATGACTTCTGGAATTGCTGTAGTATTTTGCAGTCAGAGAGCTGTGGAGCACCTCCAGCCAATTAAGTAGCTGATAAAAATAAATGGGTTCCTCTCATATACATATGTCTAAAGACTCATAAATGTCATAAGGTGACCTTAATATGGTTTCTTGCCTTCCCCAAAAGATTTACAAAATACTTTTTAAAAAGGTCATGTCACTTGAAGTGTTGGCTTAGCTTAGAAAGATTAATATTAATTTAGACTTCAGAAACCCCAGCTGGCATTAGTTGTTTCACTTTCAAACATTAAATCCATCAGATTCACCTGTAATAGATACACAGAACGTACCTAGAAAGGTAGGTTTTGATGGACCACAGTTAGAAGCAGGAGCATTTTTCCACCTTCCTCTTGTTTGGAAAAGTACTGTGGCAGACAAAGAAACAATAACGTAAACCATTTTAACATGAAGTGATACCAGCATAAGTACAACATAATTTTTGAATGCATCTGTATTAACTCTGTCCATAAATCATCCTAAAACCTACAAAAATACTTCTTAGACTTAATACTTTTTGACTGGCAGTCCTTTGGATAATCTGTAATCTTAATTAAAATGTTTTATAAGACTCTTCCCTTCCATGCAGTTCTTTCATTTAAAATAATGATGTGAAATTACAATGGCCAGCCTGAGTTGATTTTAAAACTGCAAAAGAATTGACTCAAAAACAAACTTCGCAATCCAGAATCAAGGCATTGATGGTGATTCTATTCACAAAAATATTTTTTTCCTCCCCTAAAAACCATTTCTGCATATTCATAATGCCCTGGTAGGATAATATGAAAGAGTAAAGAACTTCTATGTACTCTTAATTTCTTTGAACATACTACAAGTGAGGGGAACAAAGACAATGGTCAATTACTGCAACTGACCTATTTTTTTTTAATTGATGGGAAGTAGGGGGTAGGCTCGTTTTTGAGAGGCTGTGCAATACACATTGTTCTATTGCAATTTTTTTCATTCTGCACTGACCTCCTGGCATAAACTGTTCACTTTACCAGCACACGTAAGCTGCCTCTGCAGTTTTCAAACCCCACCATGCACTGACACGCACATTAAAAGCATTAAGACAAGGGTTCACCACTTGGTCCTTGGTTTAATGTCACACTTGCGTTTTCTGTTCATGTGTTTTCTTTTTCCCAGCTGGTTCTTTCAGCTTTCTTCTTGATTTGAGACTTTCATCTTTGCTTCTGGACGGTTGCCACCCCTTTCCTACAGTCCTGGCAGAGCACTGTTTTTTCTCTCTTGTTGGCATTTGGTTTATTTTTTTAATCTCGGTCTTCTCTCAACTAAGAGATTGAATTAAAAACAAGGGGAGGGGAAAGCAAACCAAATGTTCCAGTGACCTAAACCAGTGTGTGTGGATAATGCCATCCACTGTGGCACCACCCACAAGATCAGCACCATGATCATGAGAATCCCCACCAGGGAAGGGCACGTCAGCTCACCCACAGTACAGATCTTCAGCTGGTGCACCTCTGCCTGTTCCTTTTGACACACAGCCCATAACCCAGTGGTGAGGGTTTTCATTCAGGAAAAAAAAACTTACTGAAGTTTAAATTAATTTTGTATAAGCTGATAAATTTCCAGTATAAACTTAACATACTCCTCTAGATTTTATCCCACATACCTCAGGAAATAGATCTAACCACATATGCTTAAAGCAACTTCTACAATTTAAACAAAAACATTTCAGAGAGATTGGAAGGAAAAACATGTAGAGAAAGTTTAATGAGGACTCCTGAGTTATGAGGTTTTCTCCTGCATTTTCTGACATTTCTGCAGAAAGCACTAGATAGGCACATGCACAGATTCCCCAAAGGAAAAATACATGCTTTTGTTACACTCTCAAGTTGATTTAAGTCTCATTAATCATCAACTTGTTACTTAAATGTGTAATGGTGGCAGATTGTGCCCTCTGCACCTCTATATGACAACTAAATGGCTGAGGAACATGGTTTTTCAGAGAGTAAGGCTGAAGATCATGCTCTGACAGGCAGAACTACAACCTACTCTTGATTTCTCACCCAACATCTAAGCAAACAGAATGGCTGTTTCTCTGGTTTAGCACCAACACCAGCATTGCAGTTTCCTGCAGTTGCATCCCGCCTGTGAGCTCAGGTGACAGAAGCTCAGGTGAGAGAAGCACAAGGCTACAGTGAGCTGCACAGACTACTATCGGCTAACAACAAGTAGTAGTAGTTGCAATTCATACACCAAAAAAAGCCCAATCAAGTTTGAATCACCAATTTTGTTTGATGTAAGCACATTGGCAGAGATCTCAAACTACAGGCAAAACTTGGGTTGAAATTAATTGTTGCAAAAAACAATTTAAATTGTCCTGTAAATTGCGTGAAATGAGTGGCTTTTCAGCTGCCAGTGAGAAGCTGGCTGAGTCTGGTCTAGGAAAGACAGCTGCTCCATCTGGATGAGTCTATCAAGCCATCCAAATCAAGACATGTACAGTATGGAATGCTGAAAATGTAACTCAAACCACAAAAATGTAAATTTCTGTAGCAGTTACAATATTCATATTCAAAACTTCAAAATGTCAATTTGCATGTCTGTGCAATTTATTCCATTGGAAAACTAGTAGCCTGTGACCAACAGGGGGTCTCAGTATGAGTTTAAGATACTGTAAAACTAAATAAACATTGCAATAAATGCTCTGTGATTGCTACTGAGTTTCAGCCTATAATGTATAATTTAAGCAAAGAAATTTCTTCAAATGTTTGAAACCATCTCTGAATGCAAACCAGAACTCACAAAAAACGTATGGAGAAACATGATATGCCAATTATAGCAAAACATCCCAATAATCTAGATTACTTATCCAAAAGAGTCCCTCTCATCACACTTCCTATTGTATATGGTCTATAAATTTAGAATAGAAAAGTTCTGATCTTCAGTCAGACCACAGCTGCTCTAAACTGCATGTGAAAGACAGCTGAAATCACTTGCAAGAGCCTTCAGGAAATGCTCACTGAATTAATTCCTCTCCTTCAACTCCCCCTCTATCCCAATCCTTGAAAAACATTCCCACATGCACGCACAGAGCTACCTCATGGATTTCTGCATACAAGATAGGTCAAAAAATGAGCAGAGGCAAAATACAGAAGAAATATTGGAAATTCAAACAAATTCACCAAAGAATAAAGATGAATATGCAGCAATATCTGATGCAGAGCTGGGTGCCAAATTCAAGATAAACCTAAGGATTATAAGCAGTCAGTATAAATTGATATGTAAAATATGAATAGATGAAAAAGGCATCATTTTCCTTGCCGCTAACAAGTACTAGTTACTTTCAACAGGGCAGTCTCAATCACTTGTATCATTTGAGGAGTCCAAAATCGAGTATTAGAATTACATTAGTGCTTTCTGAAGCTGTTCAACACCAGAGAGGAGGACTTTCTTAAATTCTTCTCCGCTCTAAGTGGTGTCACTACCATATCTGTTCACACATCCCTGCACACACTTACCATTTGGCAGAAAGCTCAGCAGTTTTGAGTTTACTGCAGTAACCAAAGTGTTACCACAGACTCTGCCAGCTAGGCTGAGAATTCTTTGTCATATAGGACTTGTTTGGAGATTGGGAGGATAACAACACCACACTCTCCTTTTTTAAAATACTTGCAGCATTGAAGGCTACTGGGTGACATAAATTCCTCATTTGTGTGATCAGCAGGCACACTGCTGATCAAAGAGTGGATGTGGATACACAGAGCCATCTGCTCAAAACATGGACTTCGAACCAAAATCTGAAAGGTGTGGCATGGGTGTGCATTAGTAGGAAGCGTTGTTCATCATGCAATGGTTGGGATTCACAACAAATGTCAAAATCTGACAGAATTTCCTTGAGTTCCATTAGGGACCTGAATTTGTGTGCGTTTAAGACCACAGTCATCTTTGACTCTTGCATTATTAATTTCAGGAGAGAGATCTTACCTTTCAGCAGGTCTTGGATTGGTAGTTTGATATTTTGGTTACTCAGCATAGGATGAGGTGTTAGAATTCACTGTCAGCTTTTCTATACTTTGAACAGGGATCAAGTATAGTTGGTGTTACACAAAAGACCTTGTTTCCATCTTGTATCAACATGCAAATGGTCCTCTTGATATATCCATAGCATTTAAAAGAACCATAGATTTAACAGTCATAATGTTTTGCCTTTAGGTTTAAGAGTATACACAGACCCTCAGATATTCTCTGTTGCTTGTCAGAACACAGTACTTATCTCCTGCAGTTACAATACTAAACAAAATGTTTCCTAGATCTAAACAACACAAGTTTAAACAGGTCCTGGTTTCAGTCACACTGCTGTAATTCCAGAGCATGCCAGTTAAGACAGTGAAGCCCATCAAAATCAATGGACTTGATACAGATTTACAGAGGAGCCTACATGCAGCCTATCTGAACGTAATGTACAATGATTAGATCTTATATCTTGATGTAGCTGAAAATTGAGTCAGAACCAGTTTCCAAAAAATCAAATACTCCATGTCAGTGAAGCCTTTTCTAAAAGGAAATAAATAAGATTTGTCTTCATAGTAAGTAAGCTTTGGACAGAATGGTAAGGGGGAGGAGATGATGGTTTTTCTCCCCTTCTAATCCAATCTATTTAAACAGAAGAATCAAAACAACAGATGTTTAATATGATACTGGCGCCACAGAATCCGGCATGAACTCACCAAAGATGAGAAGATGAAGTCCCTACGGTTTCCGTGTTTCAGTTTTACCAGTCTCTACCCTGCTGCAATTTAAATGTGGAAGTCCAGACTGCCATGTTAAAAAGAAGCTATCACTTTTGCAAGGACATATATTTAGACATTCTATTAAAATTACTTTCTAATCTTCCATAAGTCTCAAGAAAAATAACAGAAAAAATTCCCTTTATAAAATTCCTGGAAACATTACATCACTAGGAATAACTGAACTCCAGGGTTTAAGAAGGCAAAGACATTTAAGCAGAAAACCAGGAAAACCTACCAGATTCAATCACATGGTAAAATATTCACATTCCTCTTCCCTTGTAGTATGCCTATATATTCCTTAGCCATTTTTTCTTCCCATTCATTTTTCTTCCCTATCATTTCACCATTGTTCCACATGAAGTCTGATATGGACTTTAGTGACTCATTTTTAATTAACTCTTTCCCCAACTCCAGGTACACCACATCTAACTGCACACATTGTCAAAACCTGAAGGTCTTTCATGTACCTTATCAGTTTGACCAATATGCTGGTTCTGCCACCCCCAGAGGACTCATGACAGAAAACAGTCAATACATTGGAATCGCCACACATTTAATTTTTCAATTACTTATTTTTCATAGCCATAGCTGAGGAAGAAAATAAGCTAGGG